TTTGTCAGATGACATGGTCAGCGTTAGACGTGGCACTGTAGGGTCCAGTGGCACAGCCTCCCCCATCACCCCACCTGAGTACTCAGGGTTCACCTCTCCTGTGGGCTGAGTACACCCTCCTCTTGTAGTTGGGTCTTGATTGCTATTGGCAGATCAATGGGAGGAATTACCCAGGCCAGTCAGCTGTAAGAACTGGCTGTGACCTCTGACCACCTACCTCCGCCCTATGTGGAGGGTCAGCTGTGCAGGGGCAGGGTGGAGGTGCTCTGGGGTGGTCTGTAGCTGTCCACTGGGTATATTGGCCCTGTGGTTTCCCAGGTGATACAGGCCAAGGTCAACTCCCACCTGTGCTTTGCCTGGGGCCCCCCGCCTGAGCTGAAAAGCAATCTGAGATGGCTGCTTCTTGTGCTGGGCTGGGAGACTCCCAGGTGAAGCTAAGCTGTGACTCTAATTTGGCTGCCGCTGGGACTCACTGAAGCAGCTGTTGCATGTTTAACAGGAGTTGGGAGCCAAGACCAGCCATTATGGAAAAGCAGCTTCGGTGGGCCTGTAAGTTGGGTGGCGTGGAACCTCTGAGGATCTCCAAGGTGGGTCACACAGTGTTAGCCAGATTGACGGAGTCTCAGATATGGCACCAGTCTATCTTTCTGCTGGGGGATGGCTTAGCAAAGGGACAATGGCCTCTGCTCACCCCAAGGCCAGACACTTCAGTCCCTCCCTGTGCACCCCAGGTGCCCGTCAAGCTGCCGCCCTGGTGCTGGAGCTCAGAGGGAGCGAGTCTGAGTAGGTGAGTCCGTGTGTGGGTTCTTTAAGAGTAACTGCTTGGGGCTCTAGCAGCTTCCTCCACAGATTCAATCCCTGCTGGATTTCACAGCCAGAAGTTTGGGGGGCTTATCTTCCTGGCACTGGAATCCTGGGCTGGGGGCCTGCTGTGGGGCTGGGGCTCCTCGCTCCAGAGATGTCCCTCCCGAATTTTTATCCACGTGGGTGTGGGGCCAGCCCGTTCTGCATCTGCACCCCTCCTGCCAGTCTTCATGGATGTGGGTTCTTCAGTTCATAGTTGTCAGACGTCCATTCAACTCGATTTCTGACAGTTCTGACTGATGGTTGTTCTGTATTTTAGTTGCATTTTTTCCTTCAAAAAATTTGAGCCATTTATTTGTGTGTGTATGTGTTTTAATATATTTTATTGATTATGTTATTATAGTTGTCTCATTTTTTTCTTCCCTTTATCCCCCCTCCACTGTGCACCCCCTCCTTACAGCGTTCCCCTCCCTTAGTTCATGTCCATGAATCATACATATAAGTTCTTTGGTTGCTCCATTTCCTATACTGTTCTTAACCCCCCCGCCCTGTCTATTTTGTGTGTACCAGTTACGCTTGTTATTCCCTGTACCTTTCTCCCTCCTCCCCCTCCCCACTGATAACCCTCCATGTGATCTTCATTTCTGTGATTGTTTCTGTTCTAATCATCTTCTTAGTTTGATTTTGTTTTTGTTTTGTTTTATACATTCAGTTGTTGATAGTTGTGAGTTTATTATCATTTTACTTTTTTAAATTTTGACCTTCTTTTTTTTAGATAACTCCCTTTAACATTTTACATGATAAGGGCTTGATGGTGATGAACTCCTTTAACTCTACCTTATCTGGGAAGCACTTTATCTGCCCTCCCATTCTAAATGATAGCTTTGCTGGATAGAGTAATCTGGGTTGTAGGTCCTGGCTTTTTTCAGGTGATACAGGCCAAGGTCAACTCCCACTTGTGTTTTGAATACTTTGAATACTTCAAAGTATAACTTTGAATACTTCATTCCAGGCCCTTCTTTCCTAAAGGTTTCTTTCAAGAAATCAGCTGATAGTCTTTTGGGAACTCTTTTGTAGGTGACTGTCTCCTTTTTTCTTGCCGCTTTTAAGATCCTCTTCTCATCTTTAATCTTTGATAATTTAATGATGATGTGCCTTGGTGTTTTCCTCCTGACATCCAACTACTTTGGGACCCTATGAGCTTCCTGGACTTCTTGGAAGTCTATTTTCTTTGCCAGATTGGGGAAGTTCTTCATTATTTTTTCAAATAAATTTTCCAATTTTTGCTCTTACTCTTCTCCTACTGGCACCCCTATGATTCAGACATTGGAACATTTAAAGTTGTTCTGGAGGTTCCTAAGCCTCTCCCCATTTTTTGGAGTTCTTGTTTCATCATTCTGCTCTAGTTGAATGCTTATTTCTTCCTTCTGCTCCAAACATCAATTTGAATCCCGGTTTCCTCCCCTACACTGTTGATTCTCTATTTTTGTTTATTTCACTTTGCATAGCCTTCACTTCTTCCTTTATTTTGAGTTTGGACTCAACCATTCCTGTGAGCATCCTGACTATCAGTGTTTTGAGCTCTGTTTCTGATAGGTTGGCTATCTCCTCCTCACTTAATTCTTTTTTAAGAGGTTTGATCTGTTTTTTTCCATTTGGGCCATATTTCTTTGCCTCAGTGCACCTGTTACATTGTAAAGGGCAGAGCCTTAGGTATTCGCCAGGGCAGGGCAACCCATGTCACTGCTTTGTGGTTCTGGATGTAGGCGAGGGGTCAGACAGGGAGCAATGCTGCTTGCTCGGCTCTTGGCCAGCTTCCAGTCACTTCCTCTGCTACCCACAAGTGGCTTGAGCCATTCTGGTGCTGATTCCCAGGTGGGTGGGCTTGTTTCCATTCTAGGATTTCATGGTCCCCTCCAATGGACTCTTCTGTGAGACTGGGAGTTTCTCCTGCCGCCACCCCCGCAGGTTTTTTATAGCCAGAGGTTTTGAGGCTTTTTCCCCTGTGTTGGGACCCTGGGTTGTGCAGTTTGTCTCACTCCCAACTTGTTCCTCCCAGTTTATCCGCACATGAATGTGGGACCACCTCGTCCACCAGCTGCCACCTCGCCACATGCCCTGGCTGCCTGTCTCTGCCCCTCCTACTGGTCTGGATGAATGTTTAACTCCTTGGTTGTTGAACTTCCATACAGTTCATTTTCTGGCAGTTCTGTTTGGTTTTTGTTTTTAAATTGGTTGTTATTCTTCTTTTGGTTGTGTGAGGAAGTGAAGTGTATCTACCTACACCTCCATCTTGGCCAGAAGCCTATATCTGAGTTGTAATTTTGATGTGGTTGTGTGAACAGGCCAGCCATACCTGCGTAACTCACCACCTTGATTGGAAACCTCCTCTTACCAATTTAAATCTATCTCCTTCCATTTGAGGGGTTTTTTTCCTTTTGAATGACCCATTTTCTTTTTAGTATGTCAGTTTTTACAATGAAAATTTCTGCAACATCCTAGTCAGTAGATATCTCATACTTTGGATATATAAAGACCTCGGCAATAAAGAAATAGACTGCCTCATGGTCGTCTATCTTAACATGATTTCTATTAATATGCCTACAGGTTGAGCTTGGTCCCAGAAGACGGTCTGACTCAGTCAATATCAGCACAGACATGCATCTCCATTATACATCTCTCCTTCCATCTCCTGGACCTTCAGCATCAGTGCAGAGTGAGTGCATAGCTACATTCTTGGGTTTACTTTGCATTTGGACATGTTTTTCTTTTCCATGATAATACACAAATATTTGCTTGAACAATAATTGTTTCTGGGCCTGTTCTGAATTATCATCCTTTTTATCTTCACGTTCATTCATCCCCAAGGTTTCTGTGGTGCGGTATTCGCTGATGTGTTGACAGTGATCTGGCTGATTGACTCTCTTGCTGTTCCTCCAACATGGAGAGCTTTCCTAGTCCGTGCCTTCTCACGCCACTGCCTGTCTGTGTCACTTATGTGTGTCCCTGGCTCACTGTCCTCACTGATTCAGCAATCAGCTCAAATGTCACCTCCCCGGACAGGTCTTCCCTGAATAACCACCTAAAATAGCATGCACGGTTCCTTATCCCCACTTCCCCCTTGCCTGGCCCCATTTGGCTTGCTGACACTTGCCTCTACTGGCTATTATGGTACCTACTCACCTCTGTATTTACTGGTTGATGATTCATCTCCTCTGCTAGAATGTATTTCCATCGAAGAAGGTGCTTTGTTTTTTTCACTATTTCATCCCATGATCTAGAAGAGTTCCTGGCCTGTGAGGCGTACTAATTATTGTTCGTGATAAATGGATTTACCCAGGGTACTGAACTTCTTTATATCTCAGTTTATTTCTCTCTTAAAGGATGTTATTATACTTCATGGTCTTCAGTCAAGAACGTATTAGTTTGCAATGATATCACAGGTGCATAGATTTCTCCTCTTTTCCTCTCTCTCTAAAATCAATACATATTCTTGGGTAAGGACTTTTTTAAAAAGCTATTAGCTGGCTCAGTAGTGGCAACCATGTCAATTATTCATCGTGTGGCACTTCACTCAAAATATCTTTAAGAAATATGTACTAGGTTAATCACAGGCTTTCATGTTTTATTTCACAGTAGAAGCTCTGATAATGTCTGCTAAAACACATTATACGTCCAGGCTCATTTTTCCTAGGGGAATGTAAATCCAGTCACTTAGAAATGTTAGTCCCTTAATTAGATCTATAACATGAGTTGGGAAAAGAAAAGGTACATGGCTGAAATGTTGAATTCAAGTAAGTAAAAATGCATTTTCATGAAAACAGTGATCTGTTCTTAGATGGAGTGTCTGGAAGTAATAAAATCACACAGTTATGTATTTTATTTTCCCTTATAAATAAAATATTTATAAAGGACATAACTTTCAATAGTTTATCAGTTATATTTCTCATTGCCTATGGTGTTGTTAAATATTTTCATAGCAACATGTGAGAAGGTCTCCAAGCCCTTCTGATGGCTCCATTTCTTAAAATAATTTTAATGTATCTGAATAAACTATTAACACCATGCGTTGCTTTAGAAACAGTCCTGAAAGCAGCAGCAACGTGCCTTTAAGAAGTGGGCCGCCCGAGCCCTGTGCCCGCCAGCTTGCCAATCCGAGAGGTCCATGCCGCCCCTTCGGGCCGCCCGGCCACCAGGGCGTTTTCAGTGTGCACCCGAAGGAAGTCACACTTTCACAACACACGCACAGGAGGAGCCCCGCAGAGTGACTGTATCCCAGAAAGTCCGATAAACCCTTACAGGGGCTGGCTTAAAATTCTGAGGTCACGATTTTGTGCGTGAACGAGCAGGGCACCACTAACCATTTATCTGAGGAAATCGCTGCCTAGTCACTCCGTCTAGAATCTCCCACGACCCCAACATCCGACGCCTTGCTCTGCCCTTTCAGCGTGTTGGTATTCATCTGCATGTGAGTGACCCGCGTTTCTGATTTGTTACACTGTGTCGTTCTTGCTTCGGTGAAACAGATTTCTGAGGAGAACCAAAGGCTAGAAATTGTCCTAGAAAAATCCAACATTATTCTTTAACTGGGATGGATTAATCAAGCACATTGTGATCCTCTGTCTCACAAAGAATTCTTAGAGAATTAGAACACAGAATCTGTTTCTTTCCCCTGAACCCTTGGCAATAATTGTGGTTATCATTTTACTTGGGCTCTGTTCTCAATTATAGAGTTTATATCCTTGAAGACACGGAGATGCTTCAGAGTTTCGAGAGAGAATAAAAATGTACTCTGTTTTGAGTTATATGAAGCATTTAGCATGATCCCATATTTGGCTCATAAATCCATAGTACTAAAATTCATAAGGAAATACCAAAACACATTTGCTCATCACAGGTGACAAAAAAATTAGTGTCTTGCACTCAGTCTACACCACATTATAGGAATATTGTAATTTAGATTAAACCCACATTTGATTTCCTATTCTGAAACAAAAAGCACAATCCCAGCATTACGAAGTGACAAAATAATTCTGGACTAAATTTCAATGTCTTGGTATTCATTTAAAAGAATTTTATTTACTGAAAGCTTCTACACATATTGTTCAAACCCCTATTGGATGTAGGGCAGTCGGCGGCACAGCCAATATCAATCGGGCTGGGGCAAGTTTTCACTACAGAATGTTCTGAGGCTGCGAGGTCATTGGTGGGAATCCTGTGCTCCCAGATGTAACCATCTCTGCACAGATGGTTTTGTTCCTGGCTCGACCCTTCTCCTAAACTTTCACTCTTGGGTGCCTACCCGAGAGTAGGGGTTTGTCTTGGCAAAAATAATGTAAATTTTGTTTGGAATGACCGCCGCAGAGTGATGAAGGACTTAGATGCGAGTGCAGAACCTTCCCCGTCATTCTTGCTATACCACAGGACTTCAAGGAAAGTTGGGAGAAAGTGAGACCCAGACATTTTTCCGTAATGAGCTCTAATTCCAGGCTGTTCCTGGAACCGTAAGCCTGGTCCGAAGCTGCCCTTCAGGGAACGTACTCTAAGGGGAACTGGCAACCGCTGGCAATAAATTGCCAGGATGCTTACAGAGAGCTCCTCACAGAGTTAGGCCCCTGAGACAAGTCCAGTCGAAGCTCATTATGCTCCAGGGAAGTCCAAGGACTGCAGCAGGTAGGAGGCCACTAAAGTGACCTTAAGGTATCTATTCTGGCAATTAGCCACACTCGTGTTGTTTTTAAAGAAAAAGAGGTTGCCCATTTATAGTTCAACTTGACATACCTTCCTGACAAGTGGAGGCTATTTTCAATCAGGGGAGGAAATACTACAGAGGGATGAAAATTTAACATTACACTGTGGATACAACATATTTTAAATAAATATTTTAATTCTATTGTTGGCATTTACAAGTAGAAAGCATACAGTATGTTACAAATATCAAAATGTGAAAAATATGAATGTTACATAAGTAACAAATGTAAAAAAAGTATTTTCTTACCTTCCCGGAAAGTAAGAAAACTATTCAGCATAGGAAAATATCAGTATCAAAAACACGGCTTAGGTGTAAAAAAAAAAAGTTTTTACACAGTATTAAAAATGATCTACAAAACGACAGAAAGTAAGAAGTGTGGAAATTGAACTTTATATAAATTATAAAAACTGGGTACTTGGGGTAAATGCTAAATGGTTGAAAAGTAAGTCCGATCATAGGCTTTCTTAAGTCGACTCTTAAAATTTTAAAAGCATAGAACATTTTTCAATAAATAACGTTTGACAGTGTCTCTGGGAGGCGCGGTGGAGCGCGTCATTCCACGGTAGAAGGTGGCCGTGTCCTGGGGGCCGCGTGCGGTCACCTCGCTCCTAGTGGACGCCTGACACCAGTCGAAATACCATCGCTGCTCACATGAAAGATGATTCAGAAGTTTTAACACAATTTCATAAGAAAGTCCTAAAGTGCTGAACAAAATGACTTCATTTTAGTACCCATGGTCATGTAAAACGTATTCAACTCTTGAGACACACCCGAGCAACATCGAATATGGAATCTACAATCCTTAGAGTATTAATACTTAGTCTTTCATTCACGGATAGGAGGGCTCTTTTCTCCGCTTTACAAGGATCTGTTAAACCTCCAGGATCTTGCGATGCAAAACAGTAATTAACACAACGGCAACGATACTCAACCCCACTGTGAGAGCAACAAGTTCATTTCTGCAATGGCACGGCGTCACTTTTCAAAATCACACAGCCAACAGTGGTAAGAAAAAAACTCCTGAATGCTGCACGCCACATCACTACTCACACAATACAATGCATGCAGGGGGGGGGAATGCAACCAAGCACTTTAAATTAAAGTTGTTGTGAGTCGGTTTCAGCAGCATTGTGGTTATTATTTTAAAGTTTCCCTCCGACACCCGTGCTTACTGGCCGGTTTTGCACGTGCGCGTGTGCGCTGCTCCGTGGCCAGACGTGCGCTGCGGGAGTGCCCTCGTCTTCCTGGTGCAGCCGCGCACACGCGCGCACACCCGCTCACACGTACTGCTCCGCCTCGCCGTCCTTGGGCGCTGGCTGGCTCGTCCCACTTTTGCCGTCTTCATTGGCTGCTGCTTTTTCTGGTAGAGACGCCAAATCCTTAAATACGTCCACATAATGCCCAAAGCCGGGGCCCCAGTTCAACAGGTTGTCCCAGTTGAAGTTCCCCGCTTGCTGCCCCAGCTTCAGGGGCAGCGTGTTGTCGGCCGCTCCGGGCGTCTGCGCGCCCCCTGGCGCGCCCTCCGCCCTGCGCCCGTGGTATCTTCTGGGCTTCAGCCTGGCGCCGTAATTGTCTTCATCATCCGCGTCCGACTCATTGACTTGAGACAGTTTGGGCATCCTGGAGGTGTACACCATGGGCTTTTCCCTGTCGTACTCCATTTCTGAGCACGTGAACGACTCGTGGGAGTCGCTGTCGGAGGAGGACTCGGGGGCAGGAATGCCGTCCGCCGGGTTCCTGGTTCGGGACAGGGGCCTCCGGCAGTCCTCCTCCGAAGAAGACCTTCCGTGGTCTGCGCTGCAGATGCTCGGGTTCCTCGGGCGGGGCGTGTTGAGTCTCTCCACCTCCTCGATGGAGAGCCCCACCGGAGGGGAAGATTCCAGAGGGATCTGCCCGATGGGCTGCTTCAGGCGGCTCCCGGGCCTGGAGCCGTGGGAGGCCAGGGCCTGGGGGCTCTTGCTCCTCCTGCCCAGCCTGGTGGCGTAGCTGAAAATGCCAGGCTGGCAGGGGTCGCCGTGCATCTCGGCCGCGGTCCCGTCCCTGGCAGGGAGGTGCAGCTCCCTGGCCGGGCTGTGCCTGTAGAAAGTGGAGGACTTGGAGAAGGGCGCGGGGCTGTGCCGAGACAGCGGGTTGGGGGTGGGACAGGCCGAGTGGCTCAGGGAGCTGGTTCTCAAGCCCGGGCCGTAGGAAGGCTGGTAGGTCAGGCTGCTGGCCCCCAGGGGCATGGGGGACTGCCTGGCGAAGCCCAGGGGGCTGTGCCTCTGGATGGAGAACTTCGGGGTGTGGCTGCGGAACTGCTTGTAGTGCTGGATGATGTCGGCGTCCGATGGGGCGATGCTGCTGGCGTTGTCGATGTCATAGTGCTCTATCTCCTGCTCCGGGGAGGCCAGCGGGGCGCTGGGGATGGTCTCGGAGTTGTGGGGAATGTCGGTCTCATCATAGATGAGGTAGGGGTTCTCCCTCTCAATGATATCGGGCTTGGGGTTCCCCTCTGGCTGCTTTCTCACAGTCATGTCGTCCCCGTAGGGCGGGATGTTGTCTGGATCATCGAAAGCAACGTTCTCGCTCCCCTTCTTTTTCTTCTCCTTGGGTTTCTTCTCCTCTTTGGGGCCGTTGGCCTTCTTGCCCCGGCACTGGTTACAGAGGATCAGGCTCAGGACCAGGAGGGCCAGCACCGTGGCGCAGCTGCCCACAATGGCAGGCACGGCCCACAGGGGCAGCGAGATCTCTTCAGGACCAGGACTCAGGACACAGACGTGCCCTCCGGGACTCCCAGCTTTGCACAGCCTCCCCTGAGGACAGATGACCCCGAGGCAGGCCACCACCGTCTCACAGGTCCTCCCGGTGTGTGACTCTGGGCAGCTACAGGTGAAGCCGGCATGCAGGCCTGGCTCGCAGCTGCCCCCGTTCTGGCAGGGGTGCGAGGCACAGTCGCCGGGGGGCACACACTTGTAGGCGTACCACTGGTTGATGCACAGTAGATCGCCCCAGCAGGGGTTGCTGGCACAGATGTTCGGCCCCCGACAGCCTGTCTTCACCGAGGGGTCCGTCTTGGAGATGGAGGCCAGGCTGTGCTTCCCGCTGAAAGGCAGGCTCTCCCCGCCATAGAGCACGGACGCGATGCAGCCGTCAAACCCTGCGGGGAGGAGGAGGACCAGGGTGGCTTAGAGAACAGCACAGGCTTCCAACGCCGCCCAGGTGGCAGCTGGTCAAGAGAAGCGTCACGTCATGTTGCGTCACATCACGAGAGCTCTGCAACCCCAGACTAAGAGCCACCATGAAGTTTAAGGGCAATAAATCTGTGCATCTCACAATCTAACTTAGCAAGATGGGGGAGATTTCCACAACCAAACTGAGGGGAGGATGGGTCAGACCCCTCTCTTCCTGAAGATTCATGAATGGCTCGGACAGGCTGCACTTGCTCGCTCTCCCTCTTTTTATTATTTAATTATCTATTTGTTTGACTTTTATAGTCTTTAAACCAAGAAGTGCATACATAGAAATAAAATGTATTTTAACAAATACTTAGAACAAAAAAATAGGCCGATAGCTTCAGTCTTTAGACCACGCCTTCTCCACGGTGCTAATATTGCTTCCAAGCGCTGAGCATAGGTTCTTGGGCAGCAAAAGGAAAATCTCAGCTCTGACAGTAGTTTGTGAGACTTGAGAGGGCAGATATAGAGTATAACTCTATATTTCATGAGGTGGAGACAGAGGGGGTTAGGAAAAAAACCATCTAAAATGGCTTCTTACAGGGTAGTGATTACTTTTTAAGAAGTTGAGAAACTCCATTAGAGTATACTAATATTGCTAATGCTCTCATCCCGGAGCCCAAGAATCTATTTTGTCATGAACAAAATGCAAGATTTATATCGATATGTTTTTCTGAAACATGCCAATGAATCGACATTGATACTCTCAAATAAGCTAAATGTAAATACCCCATGACCTGGACTTGAACTTCGATGCCTTAACTGCATTAGTCTCCCATGCAGTTGTCAAGTTTCCTCTTCCCAGTGCATCGTCCATCTTCAATCTTTCCATCCCTGATCCACTCTTTTTCCATGGGCTACGACGTCTGTGTGTGCTCCTGTTCTCCTGGAGTCCTTCCCACGACGTAAGCTGCTTTCTCATTCCATCCTGCCCCCGCCCAGTTACCTGCTTGCCACTGATGACTCCTAACACATGTTTCCGGCTGCAGTCCACTCTTGATTCTAGCCCAGCTACAGAAAGGTCTTTCTCCAAGGTGCTGCACACCCACAGTGTCCCCTACTGAAATCTGGGTATGTCCCAAGGACCTGTTTCTTTTTGTACTGTCCTGTGCGTGCCTTTCTCAGGGACACTGCCCTCCTTCTAGCTGGAAAGTCAGAACCTCCCTGACTTTCACCCGAGTCACCAACAGTCTCATTAAGTTTTTAAAACACTTCTCCCCTATCCGCTCCTTTACGACTCCTCTGCCACTGCACTTGCCCAAGCTCACGGGACACCTGGCCCACATCACTGCGGTGTCTTCCCACTGATCTCAGCGAGTCCACCAGTGTCCGCCAGTGCATCCTCCCTGGTGGAGCCTGGAAGACCATTAACATCACTGGACACTCCTAAGACAAAGTTTTGGTAACTTCCTATTGTTCTGAGAATAAGACCAAAACTCTGTCATGATCTAGAAGAACCTGCTTCATTCCCCAATTTCATCTTTTACCTGTGACATCACTCCCCAAGGTTCTGGGTTCAGTAATCCTGGACTTACTCTAATTTCTACCATCAAAGCACCACAGGCTGAATTACCATCTGGCAGAACAAATGCCAGTGTCTAAAGTAAGTGAAGGCCGATAGTCCAGCATAAACTTTCTGAGGATAGTTACGACAGTCAGAATATTCGTAATAGATAGTGTTAGAAATGCAACAACTTCGAGAGAACCAACCCTCACTTCCCTTCGTGACTGCACTCGGCACCAGCATTTACCTGTCTGAGTGTCTCGATGAGCTTGATTGGGTGGAATTCCTCCAAGGGATATAGTGAGCACATCGAGGCCACCAAAATCCTGAGTTGGGTGGATGATATCTCTGTGGTATGTCTTGTCGACGGACAATACTGTGGCTGTTCCATTTTTGCCGATTAGAAAAGTATGCCAGTGACCGTCGGCAACGTACAGTTCAGGGATGTTTCTCTCCACCTTCCCAGCGATTCCGGCATCTGATGTAAAATGTATTTTGCCGTTCTTAATCTGTAAATATATCAAAAATATTGTAAAATTATAATATGCTTGAATAAAAACAAAGCGAAACAAAACATTGAACTATTGCTCAATTCAAAGCAGACAGAATAGGTGAAGAGCCTGGTTGTATTTGAGAGGATTTACCCATCTGTCTCTATGACTTTGGTAACATACACCTTCACGTTTAATAGTTTCGACCGTTTTCAAGGTGTTACTGTATTTGTGCCTTCAAGATGCATAGAACTAACTACATTCCAGAACGCAGCAAAGATAATAATGGGGTGAATACCTATTTTAAGATAAGTAAATTAAAACTTTGTGACTTCCTGTAATTTAATGGCAATGGTGAAAGTAAAAAAAAAAAAAAAAGAGGTTAGTTTAGTAAATGGACAAAATGATTAAAAAAAGGCAAAACTACTTGCAAAATAATCAATGCTTAGATTAAAAAATGGAGCATAGTTGGCAAAAATAAAGACAAAATAAATTGCGTTAGCTGTTATCTATGACACACTAAAATCTTGGGAAAAAATTATGCCTATTATTTATATCAGTTATTGAAGTTAAAAAAATACTATGACGAATCAGGGGTGAATTCTCGATCCTGAAGGGCCTGGGCAAGCCCTCCCGCTGGCGCCCTCTTCCAGTTTATCTGTGGGATATCTGGTTTCTCTTACTTTGCCCAGTAAAGAATGTGGGCTAACAGGATGCTCCTACTCCTGTTTCCAGAGCTCTGCAGAGACACTTTAGAAAATAAAATAATTTATGAGTCAGATGAACATTCACTTCAGAGAGCACCATCCCATGAAGCTACCAGACAGAGCCGGTGTGTCGGCAAGGGGATGCAGTGACACCGAGTCTCCCGTGACAGTAGAACGAAAAATCAGTTCCTTTGTACTGTGGAAAATATGCCTAACACATTTACATATGTTATTCATATTGTAATATTTTATTAAAGCAGTCTCTCTAGATAATAATATATTTCCGTACCAAACTCAGATAGGAAAAAAGACAGTTGTGTTAAATGACGATAACATTTCATCTCATGACAAATGGCAGAAAGAGCAACTTGTGTTCGGCGCAGCCAGAGTCCCTTCTGCAAACACGCTTTGGGAAGAGCCTTCTTCGGGCTCCGTGATTCTCACCTGAGTGATCACAACACGTTCATCCTTTTCTCTGAAGAGGGTGTTTCTGGGATATCCTGTGGAGTAGTTTCACTGAGAAGACTGTAACATCCCGAAGGTTTTTCCTTTCCCTAATAATACTGTACCAAACTCCGGCATTCTTTTTAACTTTCAAAACATCATGCTAATGTTTTGCTTTATTTATCCATCAGTTTACTTGTTCATCTATTTATTTTTTAATCTATAGAGCTCTGAATCCCTCACCCCAAGTCTGTACAAGATACCTAGGCTCACTGAAAAACAAAAACAAAGCAAAAAGCTCTGTACCCAACCAGCAGGAAGGATTGGGAGTAGAAAGTCCACCATCCATGTTTTTGGAGGAACTCCAGACATGGAGACACGTGATGCGCCAGGAAGGAGGGGAGGCCGGCGGCCCCCTCGAACTGCAGTGCCTCCCCGCTCCCACAGGCATGGGCTCTCCTCCTGCTTTTCCCCTGAGCTGTCTGCTTCTGAATTTCATTTACATCCAAACAGACTCTATGGACTAATACATTCTCATCTCTTCTCACATTGCTATGGATACCCACCCCGACCCTCTCTCCTCCAAATGCATAGAATCCTGTTCACCCTTTTATTTTCATTTTCATTTTCATTTTCATGTGTGTGTGTGTGCGTGAGAAAGAGAGAGAGAAGCTGACTGATTCAAAGTATGTAAAAAAATTTAAAAAAGAAAGAAAAGAAACTGTCAGAAAGTGAGCCAAAAGAAAGAAAGAAGAAATCCAGGGGCCCTGGTCACTGATAAGCTGATTGATAAGCAACAGTGCCCTTGAACTAGCTTCCTGGGCTGCAGGAGCAGATCAGATTCCTGTCTTCCTTATCACTTGCCTGCTAACAATGACCACTCTTCTCCCGTTATTTAATTCTCCTTATTCAATGTTTTCTGTTGCATTTTATTTCTTTTTTCATGTACTTAGTTCACCTGTCAAGCCCCTTAATCTCCGAAAAGCTGCTTTTCAAAATTTCCTGCAGAAGCAAGGTGCATTTGGTCTCATTAGGCATTATTTTTACCCGTCGGCATTTTCCCTCCCGTCCTCCTTCAGAGCACTCAGTACCAGCGCCACACAGTCCGGACCGGCTGCACGTGCAGGGTTTTCCGTGGACAAAAATGGATCCTGACATTCAGCCTCTTCCTTCAGGAAGGAAAGTGCTGTCACTGATTTCTTCAGCCACATTGTATTTTGCATGTCTTGGCTTAAAGAGATGCTGTGCAGGAACATTTCATATGTCATGTAAATGGCACGAGGACTTGGAAGCTGCTTGACCGATAAGGCACAGAGCTCCATGTCCACGCCTCTCAACGTGCAGGAAAGATGTTTCTCGCAGGCTGGGAAGGTCGACTTCTCTCTTTACTTCTTTATTTTCTTGGCTTCCAGGACACTTTTCAATGCAAATTACAAACACGGACAAATAACCTTCTTCTGTGACTTGTGTGCTTTGCTTTGCAGTGGCCTGTGAATTTGGGGGCTGGGCTCCTGGTGCCCCCAGGGGAGGTGCAGTTGCTGGCTGAGCATGCGCTCTCATCCTCGTCCTCGTCCTGGGTTAGGGCAGGGGCTGTCACAGGGGCACTGCTGACATTTCACACTGACGGTTCTCCCTTTGCGGGAGCTGGGCAGTGCACTGTAGGGTCCTTAGATACCCCCATAACCGCCCCCATCATGACAATGAAAAGTGTGTGTGGACCTGCAGAATGTGCCTGCAGGGGTACAACCACCCCCAGTCGGGAAGGACTGGACTGGGGAATTATAATATGAGAGCTTTTAAAAGACTGGTATATTTTTTTTACTTCTTATTAAAGATGTGTACATGGAACATAACAACCAGAGTTGGCTTGGATAGAGACAATTTTTGAGAATAAAAAGGCTGAAGTTTAAAGGTGAACATCTGTTTTTATTTTTAGTTTTATGCGTGCATTAAACCTAGCATTTTCTATGCATTTTGATTTTTTATTAACTAAGCTTTTAGCAATTTTCAAAATGTTGATTTATATGTGAAAAAATCAGGAAATCTTTTTTTAAAGAATTTACCAAAACTCACGTAAAATTATAATATATAAAATAACATAGAAAGTAGTTAATATACCTAAACTGAAGAAAGGTGATGATAAAAGAGATATCTTATTTGTGAAATAGAAAGCAGAATAATAGTTTTAGAAATTAAAACTGCTGAGCCAATGGAAAAGGCTTATCTAATAAAATTGCTTACCAGTGTCGTGTCTCAGTTACAACTGAGAAAAAAAATTAAAAATTATGTAAAAGCCTAGTGATAAATCAATCCACGGTTTTCATTAAACGTAATGCTTAAAAATTACTTATTTAAAAATTATTTGGAGAATTTAGCTATAATTTTACTTACAATAATTCTGAAGATACTTCATTTCACAGGGTTTACCCAGATAGTAAATTGAATGCATGCTCCAGAGTAAAGTCAAATAATTTCAAAATATTTTGCCTAATTCCCTTCCTGCCCTTTAATATACAGGGTGTGTAAAAGTAGGTCTACAGTTGTGGTACACAAAACCTAATTTATTCTCGTATTATCACCTATTAATTATTGCATTCTTTTCCACATGAACAACTGTGAACCTCCCTTTGCCCCACCCTGCACGCACGCATATCAGTGTTTGAAATAATTCTTGGAGAAAAGTATTTTTCCATTTCAAAGATACACTATCTTTCTGTTTTACTATGTTTAACACTAGGGAAAAAGCAATGTAAGTTTTTATTAGGTAAAACAGATCACAAACATTCTTTCTGGGCCTGCCTACCTAGCAGTGGTCTCTCCTCTAAACCAAGACAAAACTGTTTAGAAACCAAATCATGCAGATCTTTGTTACGCTGGCCAATGCCTGGGAAATGGTTAAGACAGACGACACTGGAATCGTGCCCAGCGTCAGTGGGAACTCCAATGGGCTGTGAAAGCAAAGGACAGGAATTACGGGAGAAGCGATTGGAGCCATGACGCAGCAGGCGGTCTGATGGGGGGGGGGGAGTCACCATTAGCTTTCACTTTACCTTCACAGTCGTGTAATTGCTGCTTTCTTGAATGTGCATTAAAATGCCGTTCTCGCTTCTCGTCCTGAATTTTACTTCCAGGCTGTTCGCACCAAAAGGCTCCAGCGTGGCGCCCCGGATGCTCTGTCTTAACAGATATTCCCGCTTCTCGTTCTGGCTCATGTGGTAGTCCAGGCGTCCTTTCCCTTCCAGGGACAGGGCAGTGTCAGGAGTGACCGCTGCAAGCCAGCGAGGGAGGGGAAATAAAGGCACCCATTATTTCTCACGGAGTGATTACAGGTGACAAAAAATTACAAAAAGGGACAGTGAAAATAATATTAACAGTTAGGAGTAATGTACCCCCCCCATTGAAAAAATAATTCCTACTCGTGAATTACTGTCTGAGTGGATTTCAAAGCTTAAATCCATTTCAGAATCATGAAATGTAAAACATTTTATGATAGGCATTAATCGTTTGGGAAATATTCATTAAATACTTGGTGCTTGAGGTAAATTATGAGTAGCTGAAGAAAAAGCCACCTATTAAATTTGGGGGAAACACAGGGAATCATTATTTGTTGACACTGTGTTCTTTTTCCATAATTCATAAATGAATATATGTTTTCATATTAACATGATTTGCAGTCTTTAAAGTCTCTAGCACATTAGAAACTTGAAGGAAAAAAGTGTACCACCAAATATTTATTTTTGTAATGAAGTTTACGATTAGTAATAACCACGTAGAATTTATTCATGTGTATTTAATCATGTATAATTATGGTATATAATTATAATTTGTGATAATCTGATAAATTTTTTACACTAGTGAAATATGGAAGTTTGTTCTAGCACCATAACTAAAAACAAAACAGAGAATGAACTCAAATGGGTTTCAGCATTAAATGGTATACCTTTAAAACCTAATTTTTATAGTATGTAAATTATATCTGTTTTTTGAAAAACAAGACATTTCTAAAGCCAATGACTCACTTTATATTACAGATATAATTGGGTTTCTACTCATTACTTTAAAAATTATCGTGTGTCAAAGTGTTTTTTCTATGTTTGAATTTTATCCTAAATAATTAAACACAATTATACCTCTGGTACTAACATCTTATGGATTATAGTATCCTTGATTTAATCATGAATTCAATTCATTCTCATATAATAGAGTCAAATGACTGTTTTAAAAAGTAGTCAGTTCAATGCAGTGGTTTAAGTGGTAAGCACTTATGTGAAAATGAAGCCATTTTTATAACAGAGAGCCCATCGGGGTCTGTTAGTCTGTGGGACATATGTCCTGACGTGAGGGAGCCCCACAGCCCAAGGACGGTGGGGCCGCCGCCCTGTCTTATCAACAGGAGCACTAGGTTTAGAAACGAACAACTAAGAAAAGGATTTTAAAAGTAATACTGAAACCCAATTCTAATAATTTAAAGTTGAAATTAGAGTATCACTTTTATTGTCATAGATTATAATGCATTATTGGATGTTTTGAGCTCAGTGTGCAGTGATCACTTACACTTTCTACCAAATATGAAATATTCACCAGAGAAGTATTACCTAAAAGGCATATAATATGAAGCTCAAGTCTAAATATATCCCCCAGCCTTGTAAACTGCCTAGCATTCCTATAGGTAAACCAAAAAAATATTTATAAAATGGAAAGTAATGGTGCACCTAGTAAGTAATTCTGAAAGGACATCACTCTTCCCCAAGTTAAAAATATACATCTTAACATGCCACTATGTTTCACCAATTATTGCCAGTTGAATATCTGCAGCGTTTAGAATGAAAGCATAATTTAGTTACACATCGAGGTGCACACGTGTACACCTGTCACGGTTACTGTAAGTTCCCGTGGGGGGAGGGGGGTGCTCACGCACATTTCTCACAGTATTTGCCGGTCAGTCCTTCTGCGCAGGCGCACTGCTGCCAAGACCAGTAGTCCGTGCACGTGCCGCCGTGCTGGCAGGGGCTGCGCGTGCAGGCGCCTTCCAGCCTGGGGCATCTGAAACCAAGTCACAAGGTGGGGGACATGGGTTCAATGTGAGCACCAGTGTTTATTCACCTGCCTAGTTTCACGTCCTGAATTCTTTGAAACTCAAGTTACAACTGCACGTGTAGCATCTAATCACACCATGGCACGTGACCTGCCTCCTTCACAAAGGAGAAGATTAAACAGAATGACTGCTTGCACAGTAAAGACTAAGAGGTGATGATTTCTTCTTTAAATTAATTTTTGCCCTGTCCGGTGTGGCTCAGTTGGCTGGGCATCGTGCCACAGGACTACAGGTCACCAGTTCGATTCCCGGTCAGGGAATGTGCCCGGGTTGTGGGCCAGGTCCCCAGTTGAGCTCATGCAAGAGGCAACTGATAGATGTTTCTTTGGCATGTCAGTGTTTCTCTCCCTTTCTTCCCCCCTCCCTTCCTCTCTCTCTAAAAATAAATAAAATCTTTTTAAAAATTGATTCCTAATGGAGCAAGACATCTTGGCCCCATAATCACATCAGAGAATGTGCTGTCTGGGCTACATCTTTATTTAGGGCTCATCTTCCCCATCAGACAACTCACGCTGCTCCTGTGCATCAAATGTCTGCTCTTCGCCAAGCACTATTCCAAGCATAGCAAAAACACGATGAAAAAAAGTCCATGTGTTCATGAAATATTTATTTTTCCTTGTGGGGGAAATGGACAAAAACCAAAAATGATACAAATGTATAGTATTGAGAAAGAAGGAAGTGCTATGGAAAAATTAAGATGGGTGTTGGGAATGTGGGGAGTTGCTGGGTCTCCAGATTAGGCAGGGAAGGAAGTGCCCGTCATTCCTGTGAAGGCCTAAGTTAGAAGCAGGGGTGTCCACCCCACGGCCCGCAGGCCACGTGCAGCCCAGCAGGGCTGTGAATGCGGCCCAACACAAACTCGTAAGTTTACTTAAAACATTACGAGATTTGTTTTGTGATGATATGTTGCACTATATTTAATGTGTGGCCCAAGACAACTCTTCTTCCAATGTGGCCCAGAGACGCCAAGCACTTGGGCAGCCCTTCCCCAACAAAGTGATAGAACAAAGTAAGTCTGGTAGAAGGTCATCCCAGGCACAGGAAAGAGTAAGCGAGAAAGCCCTGCCGCCCTGGAGGAGCACCGAGGGGAGGGGCCCAGCCTGGTCGGAGGACAGAGAAAAATGGAGAAGCGCAAAGCCATGTGGTGAGGGGTTAAGAGGAAGCTGATCAGGAAAGCCTGGCAAGTCAGGGTAAGAGCTGTCTTCTGTTTTTAGAATGTCATCCTGGTTCTTGGTAGATTGGATGTGACATTTGTCTGAAACAGAGAAGCCAAAGGCAAGTCTAAAAGCTTTGGCTGAGCAGGTGGGTGGATGGAGAGCTATTACCCGAGACAGAAAATCTGTGGAAGGAGGAGGTTGAGAAGAGTCAGGAAGGAAGGCCAGAAGTTCAGCTTTAAACTCAAGTTGGAGACATTTGTTAGAAACGCACATGGAAAATGGAGGAGCACGTTGTCTGTGAGGGTCTAAGGTATGAGGAGATGCTGAGTTGATGATACCATTGAAGGTCACCAGCTTTACAGCCAGTAGTTAAAACCAAGCACCAGACAGAGTGACCTGAAGAATGAATACAGACTCAAAGTAGAAGAGGTTTAGGATGGAAATGAAGGATCAGACTAGCAAACCGAGAGTGTACCACGTGCAGAAGCCAATGAAGAGTTTTTAGGGAGACAGAGTGGTTGACTGGTCCAACCATGGCTGAAGTCCAGATAAGATGAGAACTGACCACTGGTTTTAGCAAAAGAAGGGATTAATTACTTTGACAAAGACAGTAATTCTTCAAATAAAGGCAGAGACTTGGGGTGAGAGAAAGAAAGGGAAATGGGATTAATAAAGTTTTTTTTTTAATAAAATGGGCGAAATAACTTCATGGAGTGTGGGAGAAAAGCAACACTGTGAGAGATGCAGCCCCATGTTTTTAGGAGGTTTAGGGGTGGAGTCTCCTGCATGAAAGGGCTTGGTCTTTGTGGAAGCAGGAGGAATCCATTCACAACACCTGGTTACCAGGGATACGACTACAGGATGCATGGGCAGATGTAAAGGAATGAGCTTTGGGGGGTTTTCCTTCAATCGCTTCAACTTTCTGAACTTAGGAAGCAAATTCATTAACTGAGAAAAGGATGCAGGAGATGGCTGGTGTCTGTGGGAAAAGGAGGCGTGATCTAGTCATGGAAGAGGGTGTGAAAATGACTAAACAAAGGGAATATAATATATTGCCAGGCAATATTATAGCCACACCAGAGATTAGAAATCATGAATTTAAGGAGAATACAAACTGCTCAGGAGCGAGAATCTGCCTGGCCCATCATTTGCCTTTAATATCAGCCCAGCTGCCCAGCCCAGGATTTACAACAGTCTGCTGCTCACTCACTGTCTGGTAGACTTGGGGCAAGTTTTTAAAAGTCTGAGTAACTCAGTGACCTCATCTATAAAGTGGAAATAATATCTATTTCACAACATGGTTGTGAAGGTTGAATAAACTAACACTGTAAAATATTGAGAATAGTGTCTGGTGCATAGTTAAAATATCAATAAATGTTAGTCTCTGTAGACACTAGATGAATCTGAAATTTAAAAAGTAGGAGTGAATCCTCAAATTTGGGAGCTTTGAACTATTTAGTCATTAAATCTCATACCATTCCAACATATCCAAAGAGAATGACATCCATCATCTCAAACCCAGATATGTTTAGAAATAAAACCCAACGTATGGAGCATAAAATGTTTCCAGTGATGCTTCAGCAGTCTTAAATTTAAAATCTGCTATAACAAGGAGTGATGAAAATTCTATCTCAATTTACAAATTTTCTGGGAAATCATGAATGGTATACTTCACAAAATGCACATAACTTGAAAGAAAGTTACTGTAAGAATATTCCTTATAAAACACCATGTATACAAGTAGCAAACTATGTACATGCACCACAACTATCACCTTTCTGGTAAGTAGTTTGGCAGTGCACGTGACTTAGATCTCTATGTTTTTACTTAAAAAGATGTTCACAACATATTTAAAAGCAAAAACATCAATATTTTGAAAAATATCTGTGTGAACGTGGAGACAGAAGGACGCACACCCCACTGTTTACAGTGGTCGGCGGTGAGAACTCTGTTTCTCTCTCCTGTTGGTTTAATCATAATGCAAGTAATGCAACAGCACTGTTTCAGAATCAGACAATAACATATGGAAAAGTAAAGGCAAATGCCAAGTTGCACTAAAATACTTAAGTTACAAACACTAGAAGTATTATTCACAGCTTTGTCTTTGTAATTTTCTTTCTAGAAATCTCAAGCAAGAATGTAGTGTGAGCAAAGAATTTCGTGAACACATATTAATCCCGGGGTTATTAATGTATCACTAAAACTGGAAACGACCAAACTGTACACCCGTAGCGAGAACAGGCTCCCCATGTTACAGCATCATCACCATGCCAACAACCTGAGCGTGTCTGCGGGGAACCACTTCATAGGCTGCTTCATATTTTTTCTGAATTTCCTGAGTTTTCAACATAAGTGAGGATAATTTTTAAAATGTTATTTTTACAATTTCTAAATCATTGGTGGAAACCCAACCAATAATCAAATAGGAAAAAAAACTGTTTTACACTGTGCAATTAATCAAGTTATTCCTTGTTAAAGGTGTGTCAGGTTTTGCAGAGTGTAATATGTTTTATGTAGCACTACATAATTTCAAGCACGCTTTTGTGTGTATTATTGCTCACACTTATGCATCGTGATGTGCCAAGTTCCTTTCCCTGCTTTACATAAAGTCTTTACCATAACTCTGTAAGGGAGAGTCTGTACGTACATACACGCATACACATTTTTTCCTTAGACTCCAGAAAATAAGAATTAACTTCCTAGTTAAATATTATATGGCATGCCAAGCAAAATTTCACAGCTATGAATAAATACTTAAAATTCAAAACAATATGAAACATCTGGCATCTCTAGGGCTTTCGTCACAGTAACATCGCCCTTCAGGGTTCAGTTATCACACACTTTTTGCATTGTCTTTAAACGAGTAAGAAAGAAATGTCCATACTGGTCTAGGATGCCTTGTGCAGCCAAAGCCTGGCTGGGCTCCAGGGGCCTCCCGTTCACGGCAAACTCCATGATGCACCCGACGAAATCATGACTTTCCACGTGCCCTCTTCTCTGCAGAACTGGTTCCAGAGACTTGATGCCTCCAACTGTGACTCGATTTGGCTGAACGTCAAGAGTCCTCCATAAGAAAGAAAAGTATGCTAGTACCGACATGATAGATTTCAGCAGAATGTTTCATTTGAAAAGAAGAGAAGATAGCTTTTTCTGGCATGTGTTATATAGCATGTCCACCAGACAGATACGTACAGGATCATTTAAGGTCTAAATAATACTAAAACTGCCCTGGCTGGTGTAGCTCAGGTGGATTGAGCATGGGCCTGTGAACCAAAGGATCCTGATTCGATTCCCGGTCAGGGCAAATACCTGGGTTACAGGCCGGGCGTGCAAAAGGCAACCACACACTGGTGTTTTGCCGCGGTCCGGCCGCAGCGGGTCTAAGGGTCCCCTCGAGGTGAAGGTAGGAGTCGGCGTGGAAATCAGGCAACTACGCAGCTCAAGGCAGGTGATGCTCTGAAGACCTTTATTGAAAGTAAGGCTGAAGCTTTTATACTATTCTAGCTGGCAAGTGATTTCAGCTGGCAAGCGATTTCGGATTCATTGGCTTTTGCAGTTAGTTACTATGCTTCTTGGTCTGAACAGGAACTTGGCTGTCTGCCTTGGTTAGGCTGTGGCAGGGGGCCTATTCTTATTCTGCGTTTTAGATATGTCTAAAATTGACTCGGGGAGTAAACATGCCCTCCTGGTTGACCTGTGTACTTGTCTATGCCCTTCCTTATTTCCTCTTTTGCTAGGGGTTCTAATTCTTTTATTTCTTTTAATATTTGTTCTCTCTTCTCGGGCCAGTATGTAAGGTACCATGGCCCAGAAAAATATCTTATGAGGCTTTTTCTAACTTTCTATTGATTCTCCAATACTCATATTTTGCTTCCTGATTTCTTCTGGTGTGTCACTATGGTTACTTTCTTTGTTCCAAGAACTCTCTAAATCATCTGGAGTCACATCACTCAATGTGCTTTCTAAAGTATTATTGCTTTGTTCAGTGAACAGGGTCGATGTACTTTCTGAAATATTATTACTTTGTTCAGTGAACAGGGAAAGATCTGCTTGTACTATTTGGATCACAGCAATGGTATTCAAAATAATCAGGGTGGAAGAGGTCAAAATCCCCAAAGCAAGAACAATCACAATGGGTATAGCAGGGCCCTCCATGCCACGTCCACCAGGTTGGAAAATGCTTACCTCCCCTCCTGACTTTGTCAAGGAAGGGATCCAACTGTGGACATGGCAGTGTTTCTCTCCCTTTCTCCCTCCCTTCCCCATCTTCTAAAAATAAATAAAGTCTTTAAAAATAATAATAATAAAACTTATGGAAGTGATATTTTCAGATAGTCATACGAGATATGTTTATGTAACAATGTTAGCAGAGAGCACACTATCTGGAAGAAGATAAAAGGTATTAGTAGTGACAATTCTAATACTTATGTCACATTGCATTTTTCCCTCACTACAGAGATGACAAGGAATGCCAGTAAGTTGGTTAATGCAGTGGATTCTGCATCAATATTTGTTTTTCTCTTTGTTGCTATTTCTACTAAAATCACTTACATTTTAGATGGGGTAATGCTGTGTTCCAATTTGAGGCACTACTGAGAAACACCTGTCAGTCACTGTCACATGCAATGTCCAGATGTCCTAACCTTGCAGGACCCAAGTCACAGGCTACTGTCTCACGAGGCTTCTTGGAGGACAGGCTGTGTTCATCTCCCTTCTACAGCTGTATTCTCATCACTACCCCTCTGTTCCACACCTTTTTTTTCTACCTGTGTTATACACTAATTATTAACATTTTATTTTACAGAACAAAAATCCCTTTGGAGAGGATGAATTACCTTCAACTTCTATGGAACGCATAGCATAATAAAATTACTTTTAAACCTAGGATTCCCTTTTTAATGTCGAGCGATAATACAGACCAAACGAATCGCTGCACTCACCAGTCCTCGGAGATGGCCACGTTGCTGACGGTGCAGTAGCCGGGCTCTTGGCTCTCGGAGCAGGAGTCCACGGTTAAGGACGCCGCCTGCACAGAAAGAGATGGGAGCATTCACCTGGGGCCGCGCTGGCCCCTCTGGCCTTGTCGGCCAGCGCTGCCCAGGGCTGGTTTCCGTGTGGGCATGGTTTTGAAATTGTGGTAACATTTTGATTTAGTATAAGAAATACCATACAACAGTAAATTATAGACACATATTTCTTGGTTATGTCTAAAACTAACATTGTGAAAGAATTACATATAAGGGGTGGGAAAGTGCTTTGCAAACTCTTCTCCAGCCCTTTTGTTTCACAGATAAATCAAAACGCCATTAACGTCTGTTAGATGTTATGCAGGGGGTCTGAGATGGCTTCCTCGGGTTACACTCTTCATAAGCCCATTTATTCTATGATGCAGCTGGGCCAACCAATGAAAAAAATATTTATTCCTGATTTTCAAAAGTCTTCTTTCAATAATCTTTCATGCATATATACAAAAATATTTTGAAGTACAACATAAATATGATTACAACAACCTTTGAGGATTTATACTTGTATTAAAAATTTGAGATAATGTAAAGAAATTAGATGTTCTTTTCATTGGTAAGAATCCTTATTTATAAGGACTATAGATTAAAGCAAATATAGCATAATTGTGTATAATCAAAGTGCATTATTATATATTACTATAAAGTAGAAATTCCCAATAATTTTTAAATCACAACTGATAGTAGCTGTTTTTGCATCCTAAGGCATGCATTATACCACAAGACAAAAGTCTTCTGTGTAGCAGAACATATGAATGCTCCATATGATCAACAAACAAAGTCATCAAGTCATGGTCGCAAGGCCAAGAATAGACAGAAGCCAGGACTCTCTAAATTGCCCAGTGACCACTGGGGTTGTCTGTGGTCTAGTTTAAGGCCAAGGTTGTTGTATATCCATGTTATTTGAGCTCTACAATTTTGGTGTGACCCCTCCTTTGTTCCCCAAGCTGCAGTAAGTTCTGCAAATAAAAAAGTTTCGCATATTTTGTGAAATTTTAAGGACGATATTCAAAGTGCGGTATTTATGAACATGGTCAGTAAATCACAGGAAGGGGCATAAACCCAAATCTAGGAGGACTGAGGGTCTGTCTTCCAATGCAAACAAAGGTTCTACCTTAATTTCATTGAGTACCAGAGAACAGGACTAATCCAGTTTTGTCCTTTGGGATAGCAGAAATAGAAATAGTGGACCCCTGAGCAATGCAGGGGGTGCCAACCCCCATGAGGTTGAAAATCCGGACCCCCCAAACATAAGTTGGGGACAGATACTGAGGGAAGTGTCTGTGGGACTAATTCAGGACCTCCTGTGGATGCGCCACAGAAAATGGTGCAGACCAACGAGCTCCGGCAGCCCTCCGCATGCTCGGCCTCCTGATCCTGCATCCAAAACCAGGGTAAGTGGAGGCAGCTGTCCAGGTAACTGAGGGAAGCAGTTCCCCACAACCATGGATGAGCCTGATAAGTAGTGTTTTCATAGCCTTGAGACTGGGTCTGCTAAATGATTCCCATGACACAGGGGTGTCAAACTCATTTTCACCAGGGGCCACATCAGCTTGATGATTGCCTTCAAGGGGCTGACTGTAATATCTACTCCTTAGCAGTTAAGGAGTAGTTACATTTATACAGTCCTAAAATTATTTCAGCCCTTTGAAGACAACCGTGCGGATGATGTGGCCCTGGTGAAAATAAGTTTGACACCCCTGCCATAACATCAGTTGTGCTTACATCACAAAATTATGCTATGTTATATAATCTTCTGGCTTTTTGCCGGCTTTGTTTGTTCTAGTATTGAAGAGGGGCTAGGGGCTCCCTGCTGTGGGCCACGCTGGGGAGCAAGGGCCACGACGTGTGCCACGCCAAGATATGCAGACAGACATGCAGCTTGAAGCGTGAGTGGCTTGCCCGCCCATGAATAAAGCCAAGCCAGACGTCCTCATGGCTCCGTGAGTATTCTTCCAACTGCTCGAATCCCGTGAACCTGCCAGGCCTTGATAGGCTGCAACATAATTGGCGAAGTCTGCGGAATTGGTTGCAGGGCGGTGAATGCACGGGAGCCAACAGCCGGATCCCTGGGGGCTTCCTGGACAGGTGGCAGGGCTCCTGGCAGCTCGGCCTTCCCCCAGGACTGGCCTGATGTCAGTGGTGTACAGACTCCGTGGAGAAAGCCCTGTGGGAGGTGGGGAAGGCCCTAGAAAACCCCAGTGCCCGGGCGCCACGGGGCGCAAGCTGGGTGTTTCTTTCAGCTTTTCAGGAGCAGAAGCCGTGAAGGCTGACGAAGAGACTGCACTTCCCAAGGTGGAAAGTTACCAAACTCCAAGGCAAGAAAAAAAGCCTTGATGGCTTGAACCTGCGTGGTGGTCAAAGGCCTCCAAACAGCAGAGCTGCGGCACTCTACCTCCCCATGTAGTGAAAAAAGAATCGAGTTCCCTAGGGCAGCAGCCTGTGGCACCTGGGGGAAGTCTAGGTCTGGACCCCTCCCTCTCCTGTCCCTCCTCCCACACACGTGGAACTCAGTTGCCCAGAGCCACCTGGCCCGAGGGCTGAGGCCCCGCCCAGGGGCTGAGGCCCCGCCCAGGAAGCTCTGCTCCCAGCCTGCCAATCAGAAGAGGCTGGGATCCCTAAGGGGAGGGGCGTAGCGTGCTCTGCTCCCTCTGCCCTTCTCTGGACGCAGCCAAGCTCGTATCCCCGCCAAACTTTGCGGGTGTTCCAGAAGGTGGGGTACCTGTGGGAGCTGTTAGAGCTGGTGAAGCAATCTGGGACGCTGCTAGAAAGCCAGATGGAGTTGGCTCTCGGAAACCTCGCTGTTAAGGAAGGGGCCAGAGAGCCACAGCAGCCGCGGGCTTCACGCAGCACAGGTGAGCGGGGCGCCTGTGGGTGAGGCCCAAGAGAAGACTAGGCACCAGCAGACACTGCTGCTGGGGCCTGAATGCACCGGCAGAAGAGGCAGCGCAGTCGAGGAAGGAGCCAGAGTCTGCAGTGAGCGCAGAACTCCAGGCACGCTGCACCTGGGTGAGCTCCTGGAGCCCACACACCGGTTCTGGGTGCAGGCCTAGATTATCGGTCAAAAACCCAGGAGCGTAGATCCAGAGGCCCCTCCTCTGTGTCTAGAGGACTCAGAAAAGGAGGGAAGAAATATCCCTTGAAAAGGTAAGTAGGAAAAGGGCCAAGAAACTCGTCCATAGGGGAAAGGTGGGGACAGGGAGGGCAACTGTCCCCCGTGAATACACTATGTCTCCCCCACTTCAGAGTACGTCCTGGGTATTGACATTCAGGGTTTGTGGCTACACACGACCACAGGAGAGCTTCACCTGCGAGTGCAGGTGGTAAAGCCATTTGCAGAAACATGCTGACTACCCTCCTGTACCATTGTCACCCCCGCAACAGGTTCAGCAGTGCAACCCCATCTGCCGCCTGGAGGACATGAGGCAATCCCAGCAAATGCAGAGGAATTGGAGCAGGTGGGCCTAATCAGGGCCGCCCACAGTCCTTTGAACTCTCCTGCGTGGCTGGTAAAAAAAAAAAGCCAGATGGCACATGGAGAATGAAAGGTGAATACTGGGAGCTCGACAAGGTCATTCCTCTACTGCATGCAGCTGGCCTTTCTGTGGACTCAATGGACCGGTGAACTAATGGGCTGGGAGCCTACCACTTTGGAGCTGACCTGGCCAATGCCTTTTCCTCCCTTGACCAGTTTGCCTCCACAAGGGAAGTGGACTTTTACCGTGCTCCCTCGAGGGCACTTGCACAACCCAAATGTCTGTCACAGGCTTGGGGGGAACAATCTGGCTAAGTGGCCATGGCCTTCAGAGATACATCTGTTCCATTACATCGACGGCATCTTGCTAACCTCTTGCAAAGGTTAGAGAAGGCAGTGACTCAAGTGCTGTCACACTTGAAGTCAGCTGGCTGGGCCATCATCGAAGCCAAGCTGCAGGGGCCTGGACTGTCAAATTCTTGGGAGCTGTCTGGTCAGGTAAGACAAAAGTCATCCCTGATATGATAACAGATAAGAATCAGGCACACTGGACCCCTACCACTGTGAAACAGCTCCTGACATTTTGGGGCCTGCTGGGGTACTAGAGAGCATGTGTGCTCACCTCGCTCCGGTCATTTGCCCCTTGTATTCCTGGTGGAAAAGGGAGCAAGCTGGGACTGGACCCCAACCTCGGGACAGGCCTTCCAAGGAGCAAAGTGCATCATTACGCACGTCCAGGCCTTGCATGCTTTGGATCCTGCTCCTCCCTGTGAGCCAGACATGCATGTAACACAGGAAGGCTTTGGATGGGTTTGTGACAGTGACCAGAAGGGCTGTGTCAACCGTTGGGTTTCTGGTCCCAGCTATGGAAGGGAGCAGAAAAGCAGTTGAAAAGCAGATGGCTGCTGTATGTGCTGTTCTGCTGGCCACGGAGGCCATAACAGAAACTGCCCCCAAGAGAGTTAGGACGATGTAGCCCATTGCAGGGTGGGTCCGGGACTGGATGGCCTAGCTGCACAGTGGGACAGCTCAGACGCCCACATTTGCCAAGCGGGGGGCTTATCTGCAACAAAGGAGTACTCTGTCCATGGCCGCTTATGAGCTGAGCTACAGGAAGTGTTAGGTCCAGTTATTTATGGGGATGAGCAATCTGCTGTCCTTGTCCCTGGAGCAGAGATGGAAGCTTGCCCCTCCCAGGGGGGGCAGGCACCTATTCCCTCAGATGCACGGTATGCTGATGGGGCCAGCGGGGCCCAGCCTGCTGCGTGGACCACTGCAGCAGTTCCACCAGAGACAGACACGATCTGGTTTGACACTGGCGTGGGACAGAGCAGCCAGTGGGCGGAACTTTGAGCGGTATGGCTGATGGCGGCCAGTGAAGCCCCGCCCCTGACTATTAGCACAGATAGTTGGGCAGTGTACTGGGATCTGACATTATGGGTCTCTACATGGCACACAAATAAATAAATGGTCGTGCATAGACCATCATAGATGGGGACAGGCTTTGTGGCAAGACTTACGGGAGTTGGGCCACCAGAAACAAATCACTGCATACCATGCTCCTGGACATGCTTCTCTTGCTTCCCCTGGGCATGACGAGGCTGATACTCTGGACAAGGTGCGGTGGCCGGAAACAGTACCTGGCAGTCCCTCAGGAAGGGAAGTAGCCCAGTGGCTACACAGTCGCTTCTTACATGCTGGGCAGAAGACCACGTGGTCCACCCTCAGAACCCAGGGATTGGCTAATTACGTTGGCAGAGGTACAAGAAGCGTGTGAGACCTGTGTGTTCTGCTTGTGAGAGCATTCCCAAAGCCCTGTAGGAGACTCTGGACAGGTAGTGTGCAGACAGGTACCATGGACCCCGTGGCAGGTGGATGTAATTGGGCCCCCACCTAGGCCAGAGGGATATAAGAGTTGCTATCACGGGTGTGGACACCGCCACAGGACTTTCAGCTGCTCACCCTGCACGGCGCCCAGATCAGAAAGCAGTGACTGCTGTGCTAGAGTGATTATGTGCTGCTTATGGGCGACCCCTTGTCATTGGAAGTGATCAGGGATGCGTTTTACTGGGGCCTTGGTAAAACAATGGGCTCGGGACTGGCAGAGTGACTGAAAATTTCCTGTGGCCTATTGTCCCCAAGCTGCTGAAATGCCTGAATGGTACAGTGGTCTCAAAGCAGGGCCTGTGACCTGCAGCTGAGGGGTTGGGCAAAACGCTTGTGAACTGTCCTCCAGACTAAATGAGAGGAGTCGGAGGGGGGCCCAGCTCCGGTGGAAGCCTTGTTTCATCCGACTGCAGCTCCAATTCAGCTGCAGGGGCAGACTAAGGATGCCTTGCTGAAACCAGGCATGGGAAAACGGGAATATTCTCTTGCCCTCTCCAGAGGGCTTGGGGCGAGGGCAAACAGCCTCTTGGATGGGGCCTTGGGAAGTAAAAGTCCTCACTTGTATTGGCTGGATCTTGTTGCCCCTTGGGACCAAGGGGTGGAAAGAAACTTACAAATAGGGCCCTGGGTGATTGGGACAGGACCCCAGTCTTGACGGTGACATACTGAGGGCCAGCAGACCACGAAATGCTTCTTCGTGACGCCTTTGTGATTTCCCTATGGCCTATTACGAGTTCTCCCGTTACTGCAAACAGATGCTGAGACCCCAGTGGAAGCAGGAAAGGTCTGGTGTTCATGCCCAGGAAGACCCCTCTGCCAGCCACTGTCTTATTGGCCGACCAGAAGCTTGCTTGTATATTGCCTGAGGGTTGTGACTTACTTTTACTGGTGCCTGTAATTGCTTAGGGTTCACACCTATGCCCCAGTAGCTGACCAATCAGCAGGCTGGGTCTGCACTGAACTCCCCCTGAGCACATCGGCCAGCCTCCCATGACGCATCTCTCCTGCTTCTGTCTCAAATTGGATGTGGCTCCAGCGGAACAGTGAACATCCCTTGTGGAGTGCTACCTGGGCTGACATCTATGCTGGGGCCAAGCAGTGGTATGACTGTTTAGCGGCTACTCTATATGGGACGGCTTGGGGTGGCTCACAGCTGGGGCCATGGAGCTGGCTGGACCGGCTCCCCTTTGCACTGAGAACCCTGAAGGACAAGCCCAGGTGGGCTAGACTCCGACAGGTCTGTGTCAGACTCAGACTTTATACCAGGGGTATCAAACTCATTGTCACCGGGGGCCATGTCAGCCTCACAGTTGCCTTCAAAGGGCTGAATGTAATTTTAGGACAGTATAAATGTAACTACTCCTTAACTAGGGGCAAGGAGCTTGGTGCTGCCGCTGGGTAGAAACAAGGTGCCGGGCAAAACAAAGTGGGGGGCCTTGTGTTGGCCACCTGTGCCATAGAGCATTTCTGGGAGGCATGAGCTGCAGCTCCTACCGGAGCCCTGTGGGTGTGTAACTCACATGGGTGGTCTTACCTGCCTGAAAACTGGACTGGTCATTATACTTGGGGATGGCCCTATCTGCCTGGTTGAGTTCCGAAAACTCTTGAAAGCCAGCCCACAAATTGGGAAGCATTTAAAGTGTGATACCGGGTAAAGTGCACTCCCTGGTGGTATTACCCATTGGCTGTTTTTCTCCTCAAGCTGCTGCTATAGTCACTGAGACTGAGATGACTGCTTTGGCTTTGCACACTGCTCGTGCACTGTGTGCAACACATGTTCCTTAAGCCTGTTAAATGAGGAACTGTATCAATTAAGGAAAGTAGCCTTGCAAAATCATATGGCTTTAGATTGCTCGCTGCATCCCAAGGTGGGGTATGTGCCCTAGTCGGGGCAGAAGGCTGTGTGTATGTTCCCAGTGTTCACCACAGTGTTAGTCTAGGTTTACTGTCGTTAGCCCCTGAGACCTGTGTCATCGTGTGCCTGACAGGCGATCCTTTGCTGGAATGGCGGGCCTCCCTGACCACTGAAAGGTGATGGGTTCTTGCTGCCCTGGGCGGCAGCGCTTGTGTTTTGCTGGCTTGTTGCTGTAGCCTGTACTGTTGTTGTGGGTTCTGGGTGCAGGGCTCTGCCCTCCTCACCAAGGAAGCTCATGGAAGACAACTTCATGGAGACTGTAAGGCGAGGAACCAGAAGGGGTGGGTTGTAGGGTAAGTGGAGGCAGTCTGCCTTCCTCACCCAGGTGTCTGGGTGTCTAAGGACAGCAGTGCTCCCATAGCCTTGAGACTGGGTCAGATACATGGTTCCCATAACATGCAGTGGGCCTGCATGTGCCGAATTATGCTGTGTTATATAATCTTCTGGCTTTTTGCCAGCTTTGTTTGTTCTACTACTGAAGAGGAGCTAGGGGCTCCCTGCTGGTTGCCACGCTGGGGAGCAAGGGCCACGATGTGTATCACGCAGAGACATGCAGGGAGACATGCAGAGTGTGCTGCTCATCCACTCATGAATAAAGCCGTGGCGGACGTCCCCACAGCTCAGTGAGTGTTCTTCCAACTGCCTGAATCCCTGGACCCTGTCAGGCCTTGATAGGCTGCACCACCACCAGTGTTGGTGGAAAAAAAAATCCAGGTATAAGTGGACCCACACGGTTGAGGCTGGAGTTGTTCAAGGGCCAACTCTGCTACGCAAGTATTAATCTGTAAGGATGGTTATCGTTTGCAGTTCACTTTAATAAAAGCAGAGAAAGTATAGGAAGTAGCAGGGGGAGGTCAAGCAGGTCGACCAGCATCACCTGTTACTTACACGCAAAGTCACAGAGCTGGTTTTTGGTCTTCCCGAATCAGGTCCCTTCCGTTATGTATAGAAATTATTCATCTCCTTAATATTCCCATTTTCGTCAATATTGCACATGATTTTTAGGAATTGTCCATAAAAATGTATATTTACATGGGAAATTTGTAAAAGCATATCTTAAATACCTTGCATTTCAGAAATAATGAGGCCAATGTACAGTTATTGTGCATCAAATATTACTCGCTAAAGTATTTTAAATTATTTCTATCAATTATTACAATGTAATTATTACAATGTATTACATGCTTCATACAATGAACTCTCACAAGCAATGTAGATATTTTTCTTGCCACCTTCTCAAGGAAATCATATTAAATTCTAACAAGACTTTTTATGCCCCACTTCATTAACGCTTTCAATAATTTATAATTTTTCAAAAAAGTTGGAAAAATTATTGTCAGTCTATAAAAGTGAGTGACAGTTCTCATAGGCAGTATTAAGGTTTCATGATACAATTTGTGTTGCTTCTATAGACTATTTATTTCTAAAGGAATGTTAACAAATCTCTCTGTGCATGCTGTGCAAAGTACCCAACCATTCTAGAGATCCTTCAAGCACAGTGAACTTGGGGGTATCACATGGATATTTATGAAAGCCTCAGCTTAGGAAAAAACAACTTAAATAATGGTATCATAATCAGTCAAACTTAGCATTTAATATAATATATTTTTCTTATTTTCTAAAAGTTTGGTGATGCAACTTGAAGAAATTTGAGTAGCACCTCATGCAATTTAATCTTCAGAGTTAAATACATCTTCTTTAATGCTAATTTTTTTTAACAGTCCCGCTGTCAAATGAGGAGTTTCTATCCTGTCTACAAAAGGATTCAAAGCTGAGAAGCTGATGATTTTGCCATTTTCCAACAAAACCCCTTTGAACTGTAGAAGTCAGGTTCAGAATCTAGTAGGTCTTTATTTGGGATGTTTTCAGAAGTAGGGAGACATTTTTCCTCCCACTGAAGTAACTATGACAACAGTGTTTTCCCCTACATTTAGTACTATTCAAAACTCAATGACCGTGGTCCCATATTACAAACAAACTGAAAGAATTCTTTCTCTGTCCCTGTGGGCATGCCTCATAGTACCTTCTTCTTTTCTCTCTCTCTTGCTCCCAACCCCACATGTAAGCAAAAATGCTTGTGAAATTCAGAGAGACCTTAGAAGGTATCAGACAAGATCATCTCTTCCATATACCAGTCTACCGACAACATCTTAGCTACACAGCTGCCTTACATATGCTCTCAGAGTTGGAGTGAGATGGTACCTACTGTCCCCTTCGAGGCTGTCCTGTTAGTGTTAGGAAATGATCAGCGCCTTACCATTCCTGCTCTCCGGGCAATTACGGTGTGAAACTGTCCATCCGACACCTTCTTCATGGTGGTGAGTTTGTATGTACCGCCGCCTAAATTGTAGGAGAATCTTAGTCTTTCTTCAGCAATTTCAAGGGCCAAAAACTCTGCTCGGTCCCCTGTCTGGTTGTCATAGTTGTAAAGCAGTAAAGCATGGCTTTTAATCGTTGCGAATTTGACATAAATGTAGTTGTTATTGGGGTCCAGGCTGGGAAACTCCATGTAGGACAACTCCTCAAATCCATAGCTGTTCAGCTCACAGTGTTTCCCAAAGACACCTGGGGGTGGGGAGATGGGCAAAGCGACATGTCAAATCCTGGTGAAGTTTTATTAAATGACTTTAATTAACATAGTTTTAAGTTATACTTACCACATTTTTTTATTACTCCCCAAAGAATACTACCTAAATTAAATGGAAATAGAATGGATTGATTTTTTTAAAACACATAACAGAGATGACACGCTAGTTTAATTGCTTTCCACTGGCCCATGAGGGAGCACGTCTCAGTGTGCACCAATTCTAAAAATTAGAATTAGGGAAACGGAGTCTGTCTGAAAAGGTTTCCTTCCTGGAAAACTTTTAACATCAGTTGGTCAACCTTTTTCAAGTTCTAACATGCTATAATTTTCAAAGAAGATACTTTCCTTCATTACACATAGTTCTGAAAAACAATTTTAATTCAGGTAAACGTGGTAAAGTTTGTTCTGATTTAAAAAAAATCAGTTCCTGCACTTGTGTATCTTTAAGGATCACAAAATTAAGGAAGGGACTCACTGCTTTTAGGGAAGTAACTGTCTTTGTTTTTAGCTCCTCCTTGTCTCATGCCCACTTAGGGTATGAGTTCTACCAGGCTCCTTGGAAATAGCTTTCTATTTTTCCAAGGTCCAGCATTCCCATTTGTTTGTGCTGGTTCTTTTTCAAACTTGAAAAATGAGTTTTATTGATGTTACAATGCTATGCCAAAATTCTTTTCCCACAAATATTAGTAGACTGTAGCAAATGATTGGAATATTAATCCATGCCAATACATCATGACTCCTATTAGCTTGCAAAGGTTTCACTCCTTAATTTTGGCTACACATCTCTTGTAAATGTGTTACATTGAGAGTCAGGGAATTGTTCGGCCAGAAGGAACCCATGCCGTTATTTTATAGGATATTTAAAACTCGCCCGAGGCTACAGAACTGTGGGATTCAGAGCCAATGACTGAGGCCAAATCTACTGATTGTCTAGTTTTGCTGAACTACAGCCTGGTAGCTGCTATAAAAGCATGTGTTTGTCTTCTTCTTCTGTCAAGGCTGAAATAATATTCATTATTAACTGAAGTTTTAAAAAAGGCAAAGGAATTATATAGTATATATCATATATACTATACTTTTATATCATAAATATATCTTATCTGTCATATAGTATCTATATTTTATGTTGTAACTATAAAGTATGTTCATATACAATAAAACTTTAAAATTTATTTATCTTAAACATTATACCTTACATATGCAGAAGAAGTAGCCAACATTAAAGAAAAAGCAAAAATAAATCATACAAATTAGATAATTGAAGAAACTCTTTCATATGTGTTTGACTCTCTTCTGATTAAATTTCAATATATCTATGGAAATGTGCTTAAGTTGTATATTCATATATTTAGAAAGTATATGTAGATCCCAGAAAGATGTTGACATTTTAACTGAAAGTAATACTATATATCCAGACATAAAAATATTTCTATATGGAATATATTTTTTAAGGAGTTTTGGTATTGTTTCTAGAAAAAGGTAAACATTTGTTTTTGAAATATAATAAAATTTAATGAGAACTTTAAAGCTGCCTTCCAAGTGAAATGCCACAAAATAAACCTACATAAAAGTCAACAGCAACTATTAAAATTACCCTAATCAGGGATCTTGTGTATGTGTATGTATCTGTGTGTGTATATATATATATATATATAAAGTTATACATATATACATTTATATGAAGCTTTAAATATATAGGCTCTCTTTATAAAGATCTTAAGAATGTTATGGGTTTTTTTTTTCTAGAATAGAATCTAAAACATCTAAACTTTACTAGGAAATCCAAACAACAAATCTTTCACTGTTGAGAAGGTGAATGGTGGAGACTTGTCCCAAGTTCGGAATTCCAGGTGAGATGTTTTCTAGGCTCCAAGGGCAGCTCCCTGCAGCTGTTGGCTGAGGCCGCCCTCCACCACTGTCATGTGTGAGTCACTCACGTTCAATTGGAAAAGGGAGAGACATTTTCCTTTTAATTCTCTGTTTCAAATCATGAATTACTGATTTGAGTTTTTTGTTTTATAAGTGCTGCTGTTGTCTGACAATATCTAGTTTAAATAATTTTTTTCATTTTGGGCACTGTTAAGAACAGGGAGAGAAACCTGTACTGGCAGCCACACAGGGTCCGCCTCTGCTTTAATTTACATGGTCGTGCTTCTCCCCTTCCCCCAGAGCTCTAGGTGGGTGGGGACCCCCAAACACTTCCACCCAACGGGTGATGACGGGTGTCTCAGCCACACTGCAGCGACAGTTTGTTCGGAGTTAGTATCAGTCGCAATCCTCATATTTGTCACTGGAAGGCAAAGGAATCTCTAAAAACATGAACAACCTTTGTCCAGTCACCTAGAATCATTTTTCCACTTCCCACTCCAATCCGCTTACCTTTTATTCCAAAACTTAAGTTAAACCATGAACCTGGGTGTGGTTACATGTGGAAAACAGCACCCTGTGGGACTACAAAGTATCACGGAAAGAAAGAAGTTGCAGGAGAGTGAAAGTTGTGGTCATTCTCACCTTGATCTACCTTTCTCTGTTTCATGGGAAGCATCTGTGAGAATCTCAAATAAATTTTTAAAGAGAAGGACACTCTGAATGTCCTATTGGACTGAAAACAAAATTTTCTAGTCACTCTATCACCTCGGGATAGTTTTGTTTCATTTTCATGTTTTGAGTTGATGAAAAACCGTCAATGTCTGGGCCTCAGAACCATTGTTAAAATGCATGGCTCATAATGACAGGTTTTTATATTCTGTTTTTCTTTATTATTCTTTGTATATGTTTTATAAAAACAACTAGATGTGGACTTATTTGAAAATGGATTCACTGTACATTTTAATGGTTACTAGAAACCTCTGATTATTTTTAAGTTCCATTCTCTACATTGGGATTCACTTTTCAGGTCCACAGTAACACATCCAGGGAAAGACCGGAAAACTACCTTCCTCCTCGTTTGCTTACTGAGGGTCTCTACCCACTGCAGGGCACCTGGAGATGGACAGTACAGTGTAGGGCAAGTCAGTCTTTAAAATAATGGAATGATCACAAACCTATGAGACAAGTCAAGGTAAAATGAGAGCTTCCTCCAAAGCTTTTCTCATAGCCCGTGACTGTCTCGGTGCTGGGCAACATGCGAATGCCACCCGGAAGGAGCCTTTTAGTTCATTTCACTATGTCAAATATATGTGTATGTGTATAAAAACAACAACAAAAAAACTCTAACAACGTCCTTCCACAAAAGAACACAGCATGACTTTTGATTAGTTATGCTGATACTATCTACAAAAAGCCTATCTTGAAAACTGTGGTTACTAAAGCCTTCTAACACAGTGGCTAAGTTAATGTAAAACACAAAAGCAAAACAAAACAAAAAATCATTTTGATGGATTATTTTTAAAGATTTGAAATAGAGAATGATGTTGACTAGTAGCTGGAAGATTTTTTCACTTGGTAGGTTAAAAAAAAGGACATCCATAAATATTTGAGGGGAAGTGTCCCGAGAACACAACATCAAATTCAGTTCTCTTCAGTTGATTATTTTTCTGATAATGATCAAAGCAATATATTCAGTGAGATTTCCATAAATAACTTTTAAGAATATTAAACTTTTGAGATTTCATTTTGCCAAAACCTCCTGTCTAAAACATTTAATATTTTCTGAATCATTCAGGGACGCCATAAAACAAAATTGATGACCTGCAAGTCAAAATGCATTGATACTGTCAATGGTGTTGGCTCAGTGGGTGAGAGCTGGCCTGTGAACCAAAGGGTCACCAGTTCAATTCCCAGTCAAACTGGTGGCTGGGAATGTGCCTGGGTTGCAGTTCAGGTTCCCCAGCAGGGGGTGTGCCAGAAGCAACCACACTTTGATGTTTCGCTCCCTCTCTCCCTCCCTCGGTCTCTGTCTAAAAGTAAATAAATGCATTTTTTTAACGAATGCACCGCTGCTCCCTGTGGCCAGCAGAGCTGCACTCACCGAAGGGACAGTGGCAGTAGTAGGACTCCACACCGCTCTGGCAGGAACCGCCATTAAAGCAGGGGTTGCATTCACAGTGGTTGACCGAAGATTCGCACAGTTTTCCTGAAAAGCAACAAATTCATTTAAAAAAAATCTGATGCATAAATATGTTAACAGCACCACTCATGACCATATGTAGAAATCTATCCTGAGACATTACATCTTGAAGAAAAGAAATACGAGAACATTTTACTTGACATGAGGACACTGGACTCTCTTAGAATTCAAACCCTTATTTAGTCCCATTGTAAAGACATGCATCGTGGTATTAGGAAGTAATATGTACGTCTTGAAAGGAATTACTGTTCTCAGGGACATCACACATGGTGAACATATTTCAATACTTCCACTAAACTTACCTTCTTTTCCTCCTTTTTAAATTGTTTAAATCTTTATTGTATTTTTCCCTTACCATTTAGTCCCCTTATACCCCAGCAGTCCCCACACTGTTGTCCGTGTCCATGAGTGCCTTTTCCTTTTTGCTCAGTCCCTTCCCCCCTCCCCCCACAAACTAGCTGTCATCCTGCTCTCCACCTATGAGTCTGCCCCCATGTCCTTATTAGGTCACTTTGTCCATTAGATGTCACATGTGAGTGAAGTCATATGGTATTTGTCTCTCTCCCACTGGCTTATTTCACTTAGCGTAGTGTTCTCCAGGTCCACCCATACTGTCACAAAGGGCACAAGTTTCTTCTTTTTTTTTTTTTTTATGGCTGAGCAGCAGTCCATCAAGTTGTGTTGCTACATTTTCCCCATTTTATAACTGTAGAGACTTCCTTGACTCGGATTTGTTAAAAGTAATTCATCTCATTTAGTTCGTCCAACTACAGTCCTTTCACTCCCGAGAAGTGGCCCTTGACTCTAGGCAGGCCTACCTGTTGTAAAGCAGAATGAGACATAAGAAAACACATCCGATATATTTTCAAATGCTTATCGAGATGTATTCTTGACTATGGATTACGAATACTTTGTCTTTTCCCAAACCAGCAGTACCTAACCTGCATAGTTTTCAGTTTATAAAGACTTTTCTCTCACACACCATCTTTATACGTTGACTCAACCAGTCTTGGCTGAGCACTGAAGATGAACTAGGCCTGCGAGAAGTTGGGGCTGTTGCAGTCATGAAAACAGTCAAGGGTCTTAACGCAGTGTTGCCATTGCAGTGGGGGGAATGACACAGTCAAAAGGGAACGTTTCCATTCACAGATGAAGGAGGAGAGGTCCTATGAGACTAGTATCTTACCAAAGAAATGGTAACAGCACAGCACCAACTGAGGGATAACAGGCTGGCTCTCACACCCAGGTTTCACAGTTATCACTCAGCAGTTAATCACTCTGCAGTCACATTTGAGCGCAGAATGCGAGTCCCATTTGTTTTTGTTGTAGTTGTGGTGGTATTCTTTTCTTATGTAAACCTAAATGTGTTTTGGTACCGCTAAATGACTATTTGACTGATTACATGATATTATTAGATGCATATGATATGTAATTATTAGAAGAGTTTCTGGTTTTGTGAGTTTAAGAAACAATGTAATGGGGCTGAGTTCTTAATTTCCATTCCTTGACAGAAGGGTTCAATGACTTATTTAACTGAATAGAGTTTGTTCCTGTAAAGCTTTTTTCTACTTCCCAGCATGATCGCACTAATGCTTTTATGTCCCATGGAAACATGTGAGTTTGATGGGTACAATCAAGACTTACTGTTGAGCATTGACATCCACTTCATCACAAATCTGCTCTAAACTCAGTCAAAGTTCCTGCCTGGTTCTGGTTTTGCAGCCTGATTATGTGGCCACAGTGGTTCTGGTCTGAAGTTTCTAGTGTGAGTCAGACCTCATGACACCGCTAACAAACATGTTTCACTCAGCATCATGGGGTCACAAACACAGCATTCTTTCCTTCATAAATAAAACTGGGAACCTCCTTACAAGGCAAAACACTAACAATTTCAGAATACCTTCCTACTCCAAGGGGAAGGCATGAAAATAAACAAGTACCGATTTAGAAGCACAGAAATTACATTTTAAGTATTGTACTGATGCGTCACATTGGAGACTCCGGCAGGACAACGCTACCCTCAGCCTGTGAAAAACTCCCCCAAAGAGACGCAGTGTAGAGGCGAACTCTCTCCTGCGGTGTTTTCCAACTGGATTCGAGACAAATCATTCTAAAGGGCTTTTTTTTTCCTTTATAGAATATCTATCACCAAGAGAGAATAAATTAAGACCTACTGGCTACACCTTTGATCGCGTATTTGCCATGAGGAAGTCACAACTTCTACCATTTTCTGCCTACTGTAAGAACAGACGTAATTGCCCCAATGTGTTATCGGACTAAGTGAGGTTTCATTTTTTTTTTTTGATAGTTTCTTCCAGAGTTGTGTTAAAAGTAGCATGTATTAAATCCTTAGATGAATATACTTTACAACTGTGCTCAGTATAACCTTTATATCATGAAAAACTATAAGTGGGTTACAAAATTACAGACTTAACAGAGTGGAGACTGGAAATGGGAAAACAAAGGGTAACCACTTTAGGGGACACCATAATGACACGTTACTCAAACATTTGAATAAAGTGTCCCCAAGAAAAATATGGGAGTATAAAAACCCAAATCATTAATCCTGTCTCTCAAATATATTCTTCCTGAATCCTGTTTGAAAAAAAATCACTTTTTAAATGTTGATTTAAACAACAAAAATCAGCAACAATAAAGGAAATTTAAAGTTTTGGGGGGTTTATATAAATTAATTGTCTTATTTACCCCTCACAAAATGAGGTTTTAACACAGACATTTGAATTTAATTTAAATATCAACTTAAGGCTATGACAATTAATTCAAATGGAGGGGTGGAAGACACCCAACAGACCCAGAAATACTCTATTAAAACATATAATGAAACAGAAATAGCAGTAACTACAATCTAAGAAAATATTAGTTTTAGAATAAATTTCCTTTAAAGGTTAAAATAAATTCTCAGTTGAATCTGATTCTTTGTGTATACACCAATAAACATAGTAAGAGAAAAAATCAAATTTTCATTTAAGCCTTTAATTAAAAGGGTTTTATTTTCTTATTTTTCCTTGGCAATTATCAAAAATGACTTTGGTAGGAGTGAAAGTCAGGAGTTTAAGTTTTGGAAAAACAGTCTTATGTGTAGGGTGGTAGCACATGTAAATTATTTACCACTCAAACATTTAGTTTGAGGATCCATTTAATTTGTAATATTTTTCTCAATTCATAAATTTGGTAGTGTTTGCCATTGCTAGAAATGAAGATCCAAAGACAGAGTTTGAAAACTCAATGCGATTTAAATGATTATTAAAAGGACTTTTTTTATGTGAGGGGAAAGAGGTCATAATTTTACCTCAAATCAGAAGGAGGCTCATAAATGCAAATGTCCTGGGTTTGGAACATTCACGCATGCGCAATTACCCAACTGGAACTCAGCAACAGACTGCTTTGTTCTGCACATGTCCGTCTACTTTAATTCCAGTGTTGACGACACAGTGATTATTGGAATGCAGCAGTTTGGATTTCTCTAACACGCTTCCGGGGAAAATAATTTGATGGGTTGAAGCTCCGTGAAACAAAATCTTGGATCATTAACTTACTTAGTGCTGCAAACCAGTGACCGGTATGTGTTGGCACCTTGAGGCAGGAAGAGACCGGGAAGGCCTCCACGGAGCAGGGCGGCTGAGGAGTCTGTTTCTATGAAGGTGCATTGAGTGTCAGCAGCTGTTTCGGAAAATAAACTGGTCTCACTGCCCTGACATCCCTCAGCTAACTGTGCTGACGTACGGTATTTATCACAGGTAGAAGGTGTTGAGATGCCAGAAGTTTCACAGCACATGAGAGTGTGAATTGTTGACAATGAAAATGGATGCGTCCTAGCAGCCCAGGGGATCCGTAGAATCAGTCTGCATGGATTCATACATAAGCCACTCATTCATACTCTTTCGCACAATTTCTAGCTCCACATGAAGTATGCAGTGGTGTGTATGAGTCTGTGAGGAGCGTGCAAGTGTGTGTCTGTAAGTGTATGACTATGTCTTAGAGTATGTGTGTGAGTACGTTTGAATGTGTGTTAGTGTGAGTACATACGTGTGTGAGTGTGTGTATGTGTGTGTGATGGGAGGTAGTGGCTGAGAATTATTTTACACAGAAATTTAAGAAAGTCTCACAGCTCCTATTCTGGATGCCAAAGACTTCAAAAATCACTGAAAAAGGGCAGGGGGAAAGTCCACAAAAGTAAACACAGTATGAAAACCTTGGTGATTTGAAGTAATTCTGATGACCCCAGAATATCGGAACATGCACAGGCTTTGAAGACAGCTTAGTTAAGGCCCTAGTGCGTGGTTCATGTTCAGGAGTCCGAGCTGGATGAGTGTTTTTAAAAATTCATTCTCTGAGACACTTATGCTTAAGCATGAATTAGGTCTGAAGGCTTCTCGGCTCTGATTGGCTGTGTTGGGTGTTCGGCACAGGAGCTCCACCTTCCTGAGCCAGGCCACCTGGCAAAGACCAGCTGGACAGGGCAGCTCACCGCCAGCCTGCAGGATTACCTTGGCAAAGACCCTTAGACAGACAGGCACGAAAGCGGTGCGTTCCTAATGTGGTGTGTACATTAATAATTTGTCACTGTATTCTTTTTGTTATACTGTCTCCTGCAAAACAAAGAAACAAAACTATCAGACTTTGGTTACCTGCTAGTTTTACAGGATGCACTCTGCATAGAGAATTTGGAATAATGAATTGCATGATTTTTTTTAAAAACTTAGGATCCATATTAGTGGTTCAATTTCATGTGTGTTTACATCATTCCTGGGTTATCTCTGATGAAGCGAGTGGAAACTAATGTGAGCTCTGATGAGGGGCGGCAGGTAAAATCAACACACGACTTCAAGGGACTTCCTGGACAGAAAGCAGTGATGGTCTAGGCTTTGGCAGCTTCCCTTAGAGTCACCAGTGTGGGCTCAGTTTTCTACAACATAAGACAGGAGTCCGGGCAGTATCTTCCCCAGCCAGGTATCACCAGCCGACCCTGGCACCACTTCTGCCCTCCTGTATTACAGGCGCTGGGAGTGGGAACACTGCCTTCTCCAGACTCCCTTCCGGCTGGGCGCGAGTTTGGATTATGTTAGTGAATTTTCCTGACCTTTGCGCTAAGCCAGTTTGAACATTTTGTAAGTTTTTCCCTTGTGTTGTATACCTTTCTACCTGAAAATCCTACAGTAATTTCAGCTCCTGAGTGGTCTCAGACTAATACATGATCTCAGAGGCTTTTTGTGAGGACCAAGTAGAAACCCGCACAGAAAATTCTTTGAAGATATCATGGACTTGCCATCATACTCTACAGGAAGGGCACATGGAAGTGTGAGGAAGTGTGAGGAAGTGTGGCGTGCATACCAAAAGCAGAGGGTCTTGAGTCAAGCTCATGGTCAAAATGCAATTAGACCATTTCTGCACCATGCTGGAGACCAGCTAGTTACCTCTTTAAGTCCTCCTAAGATACGTGGTTTTTGCTTTTGAAATGGGAATAATAATTCTTCATAGAGTTATAAGGAGAACTAAATGAATAACCAAGTGAATAACAACATCTCGGATGCAAGCTTTAAGCAATGCTTAGATGGCCACTTGATAAATGTTACTCATATTTCATAATTAAAAGAAGGGCTTTCCTAAATTTTTCAACCACACCTTTAGAAAAGTTTGCAAAGTACATAAAATGAAACAAGAAAGAAACACACCAGAAAGAGGCGATGGGAACAGGCTTGCTGAAATCGGCATGCGGGGCCTCGTCTCCCGCCCACGGGACATACTCCCTGACCCCCTACCTACTACCAAACGCACACACTTTCTCCATAGGGCTGAGTGTAAGCTCACCCTACATGGAAGTGTGAATGAGTATACAAACATGAGACAAAGCAACCATCTTTACTGTTGAATTCCCAGTGGAAGAAGCAACTTTTTTGTTCGCCAAGGGTCAGGGGAGGGTTTTTAGAAACCTCGAACTCACAACACGCATGAAGCCCCATGATTCATGGTCCTAAGACTCTAGCTCTGGGAGGACTCACACCGCCCTGGTGCCATTAAGTTCTCTTGTCCTCTCAGAGTCTGTGGCTCACCTCTGTCCCCACTGCTACTGCATTGACCCACCACAGATGCCACTAATTGTCCTCACCACTTGTGAGTGCTAGATTTGGTGCCAGGTGTTTTCGAAACTTCATTTTTACTCAACACAACAATGCTAAGACAGAAGTGCGACTATACCCATTTTACGGATGGAGATGCTGAAGGTCAGCGAGGTTAGGTGACGTCCCAGAAGCCCGCACTCTGGAATTCACATATGCCCTGACTCTACAACAAATTCACTGGGTCCCCTGAGAAAACCGACTTACCTTCTCTCCCCTTCAGCTCCCTTGTCTATAAAAACTGAATAATAATTATCCCTACCACATGAGCTTTTTATGAGACGTAAATAAAATAAATACAGGTAAAGGACTTAGACCAGTATCCGGCCCATAGTAAGTGCTGAAAGCATTGCTATGATTATACCCGTTTTATCACAGAAAAATCACTTAAAAATGACAGGATTCCTTTCTCTCACAGGGGCACGGCTCAAGTCAGAGAGAAGAGCTGGACGTCACCCTACCTGTGTACCCGGTTTTGCACACACAGCTGAAGCTCCCGGGGAAATTCTGGCAGACGGCGCCGTTCTTGCAGGGGCTGGGCAGGCACTCGTTGACGTCTCTCTCGCAGGCCCTCCCCGTGAAGCCCTCTGAGCAGCTGCAGGAGAACCCGCCCACCAAGTTGTGGCAGGTCCCCCCGTTGTGGCACGGGGACGGGAGGCACTCATCAATGTCCGTCTCACACCAGCCCCCGGCGTAGCCCGGCAGGCACCTGCACAGGAACGGCTGCAGCGGTTCGTTGGCCACGATGATGACCGGCAGGCTCTCGTGGGTCTTGACCGTGGGGCTCACAGCCAGCCGCCTGACACAGCTCCCGCCGTTCTGACACGGGCCTCGGGCACACGGGTCGTGGTCCACGGACTCTACCCTGACCCCGCTCTGCCGGAGAAGGATCTCTTTGATGCTTTCGAAGAAGGTGGCCACCCCGCTGGGATTCACGTACTGATTGTTGCCCCGCTTCACGGCGGCCAGGAGAAACGTCCTGTTGTTCTCTTCGTAGGCCCCGTAGAGCTGCACGGCAGTGCCCAGGCCCGTGAGCTGCGAGCCCGCGATGCGCAGGAAGTGCAGGTAGTGGTCCGTCAGGAAGTCCTGCAGAACTGGGACACTCAGCCGCAGCAGGATGCTGCTGTCGATGGTGGCGTTGGAGAAGCCGGCGAAGAAAACGCGGACATTGCTCGTGACTGTGCTGTGAACGCCGTCGTTGCTAAGCACCATCAGGTCAAATGTGCCGTCTGTGGACCTTGGCTGGGAATTCAGGTCACAGGTGCCCCTGGGGACGCTGAAGAGGCTTGTCACTCCTGAAGTAAGGGAGCAGTGGAAGGTGTCCAACACGTCCGGATCCTGTGGCTTCACGGAGCCCAAAACCCCACCAGGAAACAGGTTGCCGTAATAATTGACAAAGATCTCCACCGTCCGGGACTGGGAAGGGTTGTCATTCTCGTCCACCACGGTGATGTGCACAGTGCCAGTGGACGACATCTGAGGGACGCCAGAGTCCCGAGTCACCACCGACAGGTAGAAGTCTGCGATCTGCTCTCTGTCTATCTCTCGGGTGGTGCTCAGAACCCCCGCGGTGTTCAGACTGAAATAGTTGGTGGCAGGACCGGTGCTCAGCAGGTAGTAGGTGAAGGGGCCTTGATTTGGGGGGAGGTCAGGGTCGGTGGACTGAAGGGTCATCACCAGTGTTCCCGGGCGTTTGTTTTCCGTAACTTCTCCTTTGCAGGTGGTCAACACGGGGCCATTGTCATTTATATCTTCCAAGGTGACCAACAAAGAGGCACTTCCTGTGGCCGAGGGTGTCCCCGAATCAACAGCCAGCACCGTGAGATTGTAGACCGGGAGGCTCTCCCGGTCCAGTTCTGCGGTCACGGTGATCTGTCCCGTCTGCGGGTTGATGGAAAATGCACCATTGTCATTCCCTGACCCGATGAAGTAAGAAAACCTGCTCCAGCTGGGGACAGAGTCTGAGTCAAAGGCACTGACGAAGGTCACGTGAGTTCCCGTTGGGACCCCTTCACTGATCTGGACGCTGTAGATGTTCAGACTGAAAATGGGTGGGTCGTTGGCATCCAGAACGGTGATATTTACAGTGACCTCGTCTATGTCTGCGCCCCTAATGCTGCCAAAATTCTTGGCCAGCACCTTCAAAGAAACCCTTTCCTCTTTTTCTCTATCCAGAAGTCCAGAAACATAAATTTGTCCCGTTTTCTTATTGATCTGGAAACCCTTCTTCCTGCTGTTACCAAAAATCAGATAGTGTACCTCCCCATCAGCGCCCAAATCCCGGTCACTGGCAAACACTTCCCCAACAATCGTGCCCCTAGGGGCTGCTTCTGAGACTTCAAAATAGTAAAGCTTGGAAACAAAACGAGGCACATATTCATTTGTCCCCTTTAGTTGTATATTAACTGTGGCAAAACTGCACCTTTCTTCATCGGGGACATTAAATGCTTTCACAGTGAGGTGGTAACTCTGCTTGGTTTCAAAATCCAAGAAGCCTTGGGTGGTGATGACGCCCGTGTTGGGGTCAATGACAAAGAGGTCACTGTCAGATGACTGCACAGTGTACGCGATCACGGCATTGGCTCCAGAGTCGGCGTCCGTGGCGTTTAGGTGGATGACTGTGGTCCCGCTTGGGGCGTTTTCTAAAACCGTCGGGAAATATTCCTCAGGGAGAAACACTGGCGAGTTGTCATTCACATCGAGCACATTGACAGTGACGCTGCAGTAACCCGTTCTTGCGACCCATCCGCCGTCTGTGGCACTAACGGTCATGTCATGTTTCTGGCATAGCTCGTAATCAAGAGCTTTGGCTAGTGTTAACACACCAGTGGTGGAGTTGATGGCAAAAAGACCGTCTTCGTTTCCGGAAGAGATGCTGTACCTGATGAGGCCATTCATCGCAGCGTCTCTGTCCCTTGCAGAAACCGTTCTGACTACGGCCCCAACACTGTGGCTTTCAGGGATGGTGGCACTCATGTGGCTTTGAGAGAATTCCGGAGTGTGGTAGTTTTCCTCAGTGACAATTATTTGAACGGTTGCTTGGGATGACAGTGGGGGGTTTCCTTTATCCTTTGCAGTGACAGTGATCAAAAAGTTTTGATTCAAGTCAGAGATGAGGGAAGACGCTACTGAGATCCACCCTGTACTCTTGTCCAGCGTAAATTTCCCCAAGGGATTTTCACTCCACATGAAATACTCCACTTCGGAATTCAGTCCGAAATCTTTATCATCCACTGCTGTAACTTTGATTAATTTTGTACCAATTTTCACATTTTTGGTGACTGGAGTAAAGTATTTGGTTTTGAGAAACTGGGGTGCATTGTCATTACTGTCCACTATGTTGATGGTCACGGTGGTCTCACTGAGTAAAGAAGGGTTACCTCGATCAGAACATGTCACTATGAAGCTGTGTCTGTTGATGTTCATGTTACTGAAGCCACTGACGTTTTGGTATCTTAAGATCTGTTTATTGAAAATCTCTCCTGTGGTGGCATTAATTCTGAAATACTCTGACTGAGATTTTATAAAATAAAACACTTGTCCATTTGTCCCCTCATCAGGGTCTGCTGCAGACACCTGAGTCACTTTGGAGCCGATGTCACTAAGTTCAGGGCAATCTAAATAGTAGGAGGGTCTGCTGAATCTCGGAGCATTGTCATTGATATCTGTCACAAAGATCGTGACGTCTGTGCTTACAGTCCAGCCGGAATCATGCGCGGAAACTCGGATCCTATAACGGTCTGTGTCTTCTCTATTTAAAGGTCTGCTAATGACAATGTCCCCTGTGCTGGGATTAATGGTAAACGGAAGACTGGTGTCCATTATGGAGTATCTGCTAATGGCATTTGCACCGATGTCCTCATCAGAGGTCGTGACGCGGGTGACCGTGTACCCTAATGGGGAGTTTTCAGGAACACGGGCACTGAATATCTGAGAAAACCTAGGGGCATTATCGTTTTCGTCTAGAATGTTAATGACGACGTTCACCGAGGAACTCTGAGAAGGGGAGCCCTTGTCCGAGGACATCACCGTGAGCACATACTGAGAGACGTGCTCCCTGTCTAAAGGTCGAATGCTTCTAATCTCACCGGTCGCATGATTGATGCTAAAACTATGTTCCTTGTTGCCATGCACAATTTCATAATCTAACTGTCCGTTGGGCCCACTGTCCTTGTCCATTGCTGAGACAGTAAGTATTTTTCGAGGGGAAAGGTTTTCCAATATTTCAGATACAAATGGATCTTCCTTAAAAACTGGGGCGTTATCGTTGACATCCAACACAGTGATGTCAAGTTTCTCGTAGGAGGAGAAAGGGGGGAAACCGCCATCTCTGGCCTCGATCCAAATGACATATTTTTGTATCTTTTCAAAATCCAGAGGCTGGCTGATGGACACCTGCCCGGTTAACTGGTCAATCTGGAAGGTACCGCCGAGGTTCCCACTAGCAATGTAATAGGACAAAGGGTCCCCTCGCAGGGAGGACCCCATCACAGTGGTCACATGAGTGCCCACCGGTTGGCTTTCGGGAAACATGAAGGTTTGTTCTTTGGCTCTGACTTTGGGGAAGTCCGCCTTGTTCACAAACCTCACGGTCACTGTTGTGGAGTCCGTCTTTGGAAGCACACCTCCATCTTTTACGTGCACAGAAAACGTCATTTCAGAGGCTCCGTTTAGTGGTCCGGCTGCCATGATAGCTCCCCGCAGCGGGTCAATGTGAAATTTTTCAGAGTTTCTGCCCGAAAGAGAGTAATGCAGTTCAGAATTGGGTCCGATATCAGCATCCGTGACTGTCACCGCAAAGACGAAGGAACCTGTAAGAGAGGGAGCATGTGGTTAGGCGGCCCGAACAGAACATGCGGCAATGGGCGTCAAACACTACGTTGCTACTTGCTGAGCCTTATTTTCCCGGGACTCCTCAAGGAGGACAGCATCTCCTGCACTGCCTCTAAAGTTGCAAAGTCAAGTCTGCTTAATAGTCCTCGGGGCCTGACGGGCTGTTTTCTAACTGAACCCCACGCAGTCCACTGGATCTAATACTTTCCATTATGCCTTTGCGGGAGGCCCAGGGAAGGGCGATGGCTAATCACTCCACACTGTCGTTCCTGGGAGAAAAATCTGTATGTCATACGATTCCAGCTCGCACGGCAATCCGTGCGCTCTGCTGACGGCCCTGCCGCTGCCCGATGGAAAAGATAATTGCTCTATTAAGTCTTAAAACATCTTTGAATTACCATATAGGTAATCATGTCACCATAAATAATGTTTTAAGATATCATTGCTGATTCCTTCCACCTACTGTTTCGTAGCAGAAAGCTTTTCTCTGACAAGAATATATGGAGACGAAGCCTGTGCATGTACACACAGGCGAGTCTATAAATCACCGAGAGCAACTGTGAAGTAGCAGGAAGCAGGAACGGAGAGGGAGTGGACCCGACATGGACGAGCGCCAGCGGCACAGACTGCCGTGGAAATATGCGAACAAGTTGCCAGGGGGACATGCTTTTAATACATTCATTCAGGAACCTCTCCCAAACCTGTGCTCCCAGCCCTGCAGAAGGGTCTGTAACAAAACGGAAAAGTCTCCCATTAAAAAAAAAAACCACCAGTGGTTCTGATGGACTACATCTGACGAGGAAAAGATGCTGGAGCGTCCCCCACGCCAGGTGTGATCAGGGCCACGTCCGCCAGCACCCTCTCAGCCGAAGGCTGTCATCAGTGAGTTACTACTTTGATAGACAGTTGGCAAAAATTGGGGGATGTTATGCCTTCAGCTGCTATTAATTAGACATTCTTGGGTGACTAGAAGATCAAAGGTCACTGAGGATGAATCCTGGACCCATTTATTTTTCCTCTGGATTAAAAATGTTTCAAAGCAAGGGAGATTTAGTAAGAGAGTATGACATTCTTTGCAGACAAGCAAAGGCAACCAAAATAAGTTCCAAAGAGACGTTGACTGATCAATACGTATTGTCAAAATGAAAGTGGTTCATTCATTAATGGCTCCATACAGTGACTAACAAACTAATCTGCATTCCTCAAAACTGGAATAACATAATATTAATAATTATTTCGAATTATTCATTTGTTAAAACATTTTTGAAAATATCTGAGGCACTGCAGTGAAATATTAATTTTCCACAAATGAATATAGCTGAATTCTTATTAATTCCAGGTAGAGTTTCAGGTGCTAGGATATGGCATGGGGAGAAAAAAGAGAGAGAGAGGAGAAAGCCCCTTGTCTCAGGAACTGAAACACGGTATATCCAGGCAGAACCCTCCCTGACTATAAAGTGCTATCTATTTAATCACTTAATCATATTCCAGTAATATTAAGAAATATTAGTAGGAAAGATGTAATAGTTACAAAGTCTTACACACCATTTGTCAAGGAAGAAAGAATTCATTTACGAGATTCAGCGTTCCTTTAATTTTGATAGGCAAAATTAGTTGAATTTCAGAGGATTTACTAACTTGGGCCATATCAAAGAATATGTGTAAAACTTAATAAGACACGTGTTTTGTAGAACAAGTCCAATGTGCAGACTCCATTCGCCCACGGCCTCCGAGTTGGGTTGATTACCTGGAGGAGTTGGGGATGGGATGTGCGTGACATATGGGTGATGCTGAAAGCTGGGTGGGTTGTCGTTGACGTCAGTCACAGTGACGAGCACGCTGGTGGAACTGGAGAGCGCCCCCGGGGACCCGGCATCCGTGGAGACCACGACCAGCGTGTAGTTGCCCCTCGTCTCCCTGTCCAGCAACGCGCTGGTGATGATCTGCCCGGTGGAGGGGTTGATGGTGAACTGGGAGTTTCCGCCGATGATCCTGTAACTGAAGCAGAGAGCAGAGATGGACACACTCCTCCTTGTTCTCATGTTGTAGCGTCTGTGCACTGCGCTTTAAAACCTCAGGCAGAAATGTAGAGAGAGGACGAGAAGGATCACACAACAATGAAAGACCATGACTACAAGGTAAATACTTCAAAGTTTATGTAAATATACATGGACAGTCTTTATTGCGAGATGTCCAATGACCTCAAGCAGGTCTCTGCAAGGTCTGTGGACTTCTTAAATCATGCCCAACTCCAAAATGTACCCAGAAGACCTTTGTGTTTGAAACAGACGAGCCAGAAAGCATAAATCAAGGCATTGCTCCACCACTGCCGTTAATGGCCAGGGTCACAGATGAACATCTGTTAAATGCATCTCAAAATTATTTTTCTGCTGTGCACCATAGTATCCCAGAGAACACCAGTTGAAGATGGAGTTCTTTCAAGACAGTAAACACTGCACTGGATACATACTGACCATCCAGAGCAACAGGAGAACTGATTATTTATACAGAGACATTCCTAGTTACTAATTCTCTCATTCATCATTCCTCACACAGCCACACGGCCTGGCTTTCTTGTAAGGAGAGAAATGACATTGCCATGGACACATTGATGCTGACCAGATTGGTTAACAGAGAGGAGTTTCCACTGAGAGCAGCGTCTCTCTTCTTTCTGAAGAGGGAAGCTATCAGCGCATATCCCTGAGAGATCGGCCAGGGAAGGCGCTCCTGAACTTGAAGGTTCAAGTGCCGGCTGGAGTCCATCATGTTTAAAGTTGGAGGTAGCAAGGAAACAGAAAAGCGTCCTCCTTCGCACCAACAAAGACATGGCCTTGCTGGAATTAAGGGTGTGTTTCTAGTGTTTGGTTTGAGTTCATCAAGTCATAGGGACAGCGTGCGTCTACAAGCAGCAGCAGAACAACCCACGTCACCGCCAGCAGCGAGAACACGCCTCCTGTTATGCTCACAGTTGAAAAGACACATTTCAGCATTTTCATCCTTTTTTTTATAAGACAGATAAATAAGCTGTCAGGGAGCTGATATTTTTAAAAACATAAAGGCAAAAATGATACCAAAATGGAAACAGAATATTTGATAGAAAAGTGGAAACAGAATAGAGAGGGTGTTAGGGTGAGCAATGACTTCGATACTGGTGAAGCGCTGGGCATCACTTGGATTGGTAAGGCCTCCCGACATGCTTGTGCCAGGGCCAGGAGTGAACGTGAATAGCACTGGGTCTGTTTCCTGGACCAGAAGTTACTCTTTATAGTCACTGCCCTTCCTTGGTTGAAGATATCTTGTCCCCTTTTCTAAGTGAAAATATCAGAGGTTGGAAATGAATTCTTTAAGTTAGAAATTCAACACTCCTGAAATAATCAAACTGCCTGACCTTTCTGAGAAAGTCTGTTGGAACCTGGATTACAAAAATTGTGTAACTATTTTGGGAAACCTTGTTTCTATCAGAGGATGTAGAAATCACCAAATAACTTAACAGGGGAAAAGGAAGTAATTCATAGTGCCACCAACCTTCCTATAGCTTTATGACAGCAAATAGCAGTGTTCTTTCAAGCATTCAGAAATAAAAATGATGAAAAACTGCACACAAATTTGGATTGGTATAGTTTGTATATGACAAAACTGTGATATATTAGAAAAAAGAACAATGTATTGAATGGCAAATGGTGTGAGCTCTGGTACAGGTTCAAGTCCAGAATCCATAAAGGAATCTTGTACCGTAAACCCTTATTCTTTATTCCGTGCTGCTGTACACGCTGTGGTCCATACGATGTCTATTTAAAAGTAGGTAATATACTTACTAAATTAAAAATTATTGCCCTGGCTGATGTAGCTCAGTGGATTGAGCACAGGCCTGTGAACCAGAGGATCGCGGTTCGATTCCCAGTTAGGGCACATGCCTGGGTTGCAAGCAGGTTCCCTGCAGGCCAGTTCCCTGCAGGGGATGCACTAGAGGCAACCATACATTGCTCTCCCTCTCTCCTTCCCCTCTAAAGATAAATAAATAAAATCTTTTTAAAAAAATTATTTATGTGATTTTTTTCTAGACTTTATTCTCAAGTTTACCACAAGTATATTTCTGTAATATTTCATGGTATCTGTAATCCCAGTTTCAAGGCGATTTATACTTGTAAGTTTGAAAAGATAAAGAGATAGAAGAAACACATGTGGCAATGTACATGGATAGATGCCAAGATAATATGCCCAGATTCCTAGTAGTTCCTCTAAAAAGTGTTCGGTACTCACCTGCACTCATTAAAGAACACTCTTTAGGTTGGTTTGCAAGTGAATACTTAAGAAACTGAATGCTAAACCTATCTTAACTTCGAGCAAAACACTAATTTCAACTCACAAACGTTAAAGTAGCAATTCTTATCCCCACTTTTACTGATGGATATACTGAACCATAAAGACACTAGCATGCCTTTCCCAGTCACGACAGGGAAATGATGGAAGCAGATTCCGACCCAGAGAATCAGAGCATTCTGCAAAGACAAAGAGAGCATCCAGGGAAGGGATAACCTGAAGATCCAAGAGGGAACTGCAAGTACCTGCCCCCTTAAAGACTGGGTAGAAATTGAGGAGGATGGGATTCAGAGCACAGAGTAAGGAATTCGCCTTTGAACATTGACCCTGTAGATTATTGTGTGACTCTCTCCAGTGTTGTGACCTAAAAGTAGGGGACCTGAGGTCTGAGTGGAGCTATGGCTAGTTGGGAGAGGAGCGGGTACATACATACAAAAGCTAAGTCTGGGAAGCAAAGGTACAGACTAGCTAGAGACTGGGAGTGAATGCCGATGGCTTACTAGAGGGGAAAGTATTAAAGTGAAGTGTGTAACTCCAAGTACCTGCGCGACCCATGAAAATGTAGAGCTTAATCAAATGAGTAGAAAGGAAAATATAAATACATATTTGTTGAATAGCCGCTGTGTCCAAGAGCATGGTAGACCATCATCTTGGGGTAAAATGAACAAATTAGATGGCACATCGGGGGGAGTGCTGTGAGGAAGCACGTTGGTAACTAGGTGAATTACTTCAATATGTTACATTTAAAAAGGCAATATAAAATTTAACACAGAATAGTCCCATTAACCAGAAGGAAGAATGGATTTTCTTTTAGAGTCCATGAACAGCAAGGAGTGACCAACACCTAACACAAAAGTGTGTTATAGTCCATTCAAAAGAAATCAGGGCAGATAAAGAAGGTTTAGGTTGGCATAACTACTTACTCTATCTAGGCAAATATTTTAATTTGAGGTGTAATAACTGTAACTGTCCTAAGTTAGTTTAAAAGTGAATTTAATCATTTTAGAAGGTAAAAATAGCTCCAATTTTTTATTTTATGTGAATGTATAACAGTAGAGTCATTTGAAGATGCGTCTGATAGATTTCAGTGAATGCAAAAGGATAAAGTTCCTTCTCCGAGATTAAAGGAAGAAGAAAATCCAACCAGTCCACCAAACAACCAAAACGCATACTATCAAATCAAAAAAAAACCACCCCAGACCTGCCAGGAGCACAAGGCAGAGCATTCTGAAAGTACAAAGAGGGTCTCCCAGGCCCACGTCCCACTGGCCTCCATCGCCCCCAAACACAGAAAGCCTTCAGCATGAAACGGGCATTCACTGGGAGAAAACGTCCTGCCACCCAGCGCCTTCTTGCAGCAGCCGTATGTGGGGATGGGTTTGCAAACCTCCAGCTTCACACTGGGGGCTGAAACGGCGGAGACCGGAGCACTGTCCTTCTGCTCATCCACCATGCCCCCCACACATCTGTGCAGCAAGTCCCCTCGGTGTGGCAGAGGAAGGTTTACCAGACGGTCACACTACAGAGGACAGGACACCTCTCCCGAATTTCCCTAAACATACTGAGCACCGACAGACGGCAGGTGGGGAGAAAGGCACTCTGCGTGGATTAGGACAGTACAGGCGGACAGGTGCTGAGTATGTTTTGTTACAGGCACTATTCTGCATAGTTCACTTAAAATAAATGTTTTTTATCCCCATAATAACTCCATAAAGTCAGCTTTATTATTATTATTATTATTATTATTATTATTATTATTATTATACCTAGTCCACTGGTAAGAAAACTGATGCTGAGAAATGTTAAATTAGCTACACTGCAATTAGAAACAATAATTAAAATCACTATTGTTTTGATCCTCATTTTAGGCACAGTTGGCTATTCAACAATAGATAACCACAACAGGGTATGTGTTAATATTATGACATTTCTGGCAAAATGAAGCACTATATTCACTTAGAGCAAGGACTCATGTTCACCAAGAAACACAGCCCACGGGGACAAGGGGAAAGACGCACCTGATCACGGCGTTCGTGGAGGCGTCGGCGTCGGAGGCGCTCACCAGCAAGACGTCTGTTCCCGTGGGCGCATCTTCGGGAATGGTAGTGAGATACAGCTTACTGGCAAAAGTGGGGACATTGTCATTGACATCATCCACTATGACATTGATCGTTCCAGTTCCAGTCAGAGCAGGGGATCCTAGAAGGAGAAAAAAAAAAAAAAAAAGAAGAAGTCTTAATGCTTACAAGTAACAAAAAGAACAGCAACTTTAATAACGAGTTCTAGTCAGCACGGCCAGAGAGAAGTTAGCATCTCAAATTTCTCATCATAGACAAGTGACTCATTTTTAATTCTGTGACAAAAGTTTTCCTTTATGAACTGGTATTTCAGCTCTTTCCTAGTGATGCTGCCCAGAGTTGCAACTTCTTACTCTATTTTGAAGGTGCTGATTCGACAGCACAGAACACAACAATATCATTTAAACACCACAAGAGAGGCACCGCTGGTTTCTCTGAAATTACATTACAATAACCCAAACCAGATTTGGAGAATTACCCATGGGCACGGAATAGCTGGCCTGCTTCGTGTAAACAAAGGCATGTTAAGAACTGTATTCCTAGCCGTGACTTTCGATGTTAATGTCAAAAATTGCAACAGGCTTCCTGAGGTCTTGAAATCACCATTACTGTACTAACTGATGTTTGTTTGCAGGGGAAAAAAGGCAGCTTCCAGTTATATTTCAAAACTGTAGTCTCCCACTTTCTGGAAATAACATTATGTCAGTGAGCTAACTTGCAAAAACTTTTATTGCATTTATTTCATATTTAACATAAATGGGAAGCAAATCATGTTTATTTCCTGTTCCAGCTCTGATATCCACACATAGTGAAAATCTAACATTTAACAGAACCTTGGCTATACTATCTCTGCTTCACAAAGTTGGCAGCCTCTTCGTGGTGAAGATCAGATGTCCTATTTGCTCAGATGCTTCGATCTGTCCCCCAATTCAAAGGCGAATCATCTGCCTTCAGCTGTGTCTTCGAAATCATTTTCCAACCTTAATTTCTGCTGTACACTGGACAAGCTAAGCCCAGAGAACAGCACTGGGAACAGACTCGAGGAGACGCCCACCATGAGGAAGCCCAGGGATATGCCCGTTGAACTCCATGGGCCAACTGAAGACAACAATCCCATCGCAGATTTTGAATTTTTCACAAGGGACCTGGTTCATGCTAAAATCAATATTTTCAGAGGTATTATTAATGGCTGGTGGTTAGCCTTAATCTCTTCAATGTGTGTTTAATTATATACAATTTGGCAAAATGGAAATTAATGATCTGAATCATGTTAGTATTTCTCACACTGGTTGAATTAGAAAAAAAATTTTAATTTGGGTGAGCACATTTGCATGAGCATTTGCGTGATCAAAAGGGCAAGTCATAGGAACGTGAGCTGCGCACGGTGAGCCGAGAGCAAGGACAACTAAAGCAAGGTGTCAGAGGCGAAGGACGGGAGGACGTGCAGGGCTCCATCAACTCTTCCACTGATACCACGTTCTGCTCACTGAACCGGTGTCCTCATCTGCAACGTGGGAATAACGAGAACAGAACCTGCCCCAGAGAAGTACTGAGGGAATGTAACCTGCTCAGGATGATGCTGGCACATAAAGTGCATTCTGCGTTACCCCTTGGTTTTGGATGTGTAAAAACAAGAAAAATGGAAAGCTCTCATAAAAATGATCTGGTTTTCATCTAACAAATTTCGGTGTCATAGTTCCCTGGATATGTTTGCCCCCCCAAAACTTTTGACTTGATGTTCTGATGATATTATTCAGGAAAACATTTTAAATCATCCTTTCCTCTTAATGATTCCCTTGAAGTATAAATATATGGACATTTAGCTCTGGAAAATTCCACAGCTTTTTGGAAGACATGTTGAATTGTTAATTATACAAAGTGCAGAATTTTTTAATTTACAGTAAGAGTTTCAACAAGACTGGACTCTTTCTGATACAGGCATTGCTCTTTCATCAGCGACACTGCAACTTGTTAAGAAATCGCCCAGCAACTGCCAAGCAAAGCTTGTGTCTTTGATATTCTGAAGTGTCTGACGGACGACACATGCAAGGAAAACCGACATGAACTGGTGACTACTAACTCATTGGTCAGGAACACGAGATTTCTTTCCTTGTGTATAAATTACATAAATATTGTTGGTGATGTATTTTCTCAGTAAGCAAAAAAAAAAAAAATTGTTTACCCACGAAAATATTCAGCAAGTTCAATCTCACTGTGCTCATACCAGAGACTGACTCATTTTTCCAGACGATTTTAAAAGCACACCAGTGCCAACAAAGGGCTCTGGCTGGAGAAGCAGCCCCAGCAGGCACCCTGTATCCACAGGGGCCTCTTCTCCACACACACCACCCCCAGAGTCGCTTCTTCCCTCCTCGTTACCTGCCACGACCCATGTTAGAAGCAGGTGGGTTCTTCACTTCCTCTTTCCCCCACTTGGTAATGGATAAATCCAAGCACTGCCTGTCCCACGGCCTCACTTTCTGGTCCCCCGAGATGTGCAGGCCAGTCTCACTATCTCCCCGCCACCCCACCCCTGGTTTTACCAAGAAAACCTAACAAAGACTAAATTTCTAAGTCTTTCACTGCAATTGAACTCATCTCCAATTTGAATTCTGCCTGCAAGATTTTTCACTTTGGTACCTGGGGGCAGGGCTGACCACCCACACCCCAGTCCAGCCCCTGACTTGTCCACCGAGAGCATGAGCTTCCTGCCTCTCAGCACTGGGCAGGAAGATGAAATCCAGGGACTCAGCAGAGCACCCCCTGACTTCAGAGAGCAAGTCGCACACTGCTCTGCACAGAGGAAGGGCTTCCTCCCGCCTGGGAGCTCGGGATGGCGCCTTTGGTTGTGTCATCGTTTGCCTCTTTCTGAGCCTTTCCTCCTCACTGCGTGAAGAAATGGCAGCTTATGCTGCTGGTTCCCAAGAGTTGTTTTTTTGTTGTTGTTATAGCCCATGGGAAGTACTGTACAATGCTTACTATGACTTTATCTTCACTCCAGAACTTTCGGCTGCCTCCAGGCTGACACATCCGAGTGACTATTTGTTGTCTCTCTTTGTAACCAGATACCGAAGGGCCCAGCATTCATATGTCAACAACTGAAACCATAATTATTCTCTGCAAACTTAGCCCACGCATTTATATAGAAATTGAAACACGTAGTACATATACATGTATACATCTATACATGTATAGATAAATACATATAGATCTGTATTCATCTATATACTTATTATTGAACACTTATTTGATACCAGCTATATGTATGAGTACTACATATATGTTACTCATTTAGTATGGTTTCCATGAAGTAGGCATTATAATTCAATTTTTTTCATGAAGAACTTGAGAAAAAGAATTTAAGCAAGTCATTTGCATTCAGCGAGAGCGAACTGAAAGAGAGCCAATTCTGAGCTAAAAAAAAAACTCTTCTCTTTAGGCTCTGATAACATAATGCCACTCATTGCAAGTACTTATTATTATTATTACTTTATTATTATTATTATCATCATCACCAAGGTACTTCTGCCATATCCTCTATTTGGTTGTAAGCTAATTAAAAGCAGGAATAATTCCATTTAATTCATGTCTCTAAACCCATAATTCACTCCACTGGGCTCTGTTCTAGATCCGTATTAACTTTTCCCTTTGATTCCTATATTTGGGAATCTGTGCTAGTAACTGCATGGCTCACAGTTCAAAGAGCTGAACACTTCTGGAAATATACATCTGGGACATAGCCCTCAGCCTAAGGCTGGAGTCAGAGAATGCAACTGCAGACAAAGGTCAACATTTTGGAGATAGCTGACTACTTACAAACAGAGGGTCCCAATTAATCCTGAATCCCATGAGAAGAATCTGAAAACTAGGGGCCAACGTTGAGCTTGAATAGAGCTGATAATGATGAATTATATAGGTAGTGTCGTAACAGGGCGAGATTGCTCAACTTCATCTGGGATTATTTATGAGAACCAGATGCAGTCAGCAGAGAGAGGCAGGATGCAAACAGGCTCCTGGCAGACGACAGTGAGCCAATGCAAAGACTGAAGATACAAATGAATATCAGGTCGAGGTCTCGGAAATGGAGAATTGGAGAGGCTAGGAGCGTGCGGTGGAATACAACTACAGTCAGAAAACAAATGAACAATTTCAAGGTATAAAATTATACGTGTTGTGCATATACATATGTATATATGTATATACCTTTGATATATAAAAATATTAAAAATGGGTAAATGGATAGGAAGCTTCTGAAGTTTTTAGACTAGCAAAGAATACATAAAATTCTGAAAAGCATTTTTTAAGTGTGCATAAACAAGTCACACACACACAGAGGAAGGACTGTTCACAGCTTAACCTCCTACTTGCCTGTGATACTGTGAGTAGTTCCAAACTTTGCTGGGAGTCTTCTCTTATAGTCTTGAATTTGTGAAATGACCACATTAGTTTTGCCTTTTAACATTAGTGCCTTAATAAGCTCAAGTACACCGTTGAAACAGTTCAGGAAAATTTAAAATGTAAATTTAAAAAGAAAAAAGTTCCAGGCAGCTGCTCTATGAGAAAATACATCTTTAATAAGTGTAATGAATGAGCTAAATGACTAAAGTTCAAACTACAAGTAGATGACATGTTTCTATGTTAGCTCCTATAAATTAAACATACTTTCCTAAAGCATGAAAAACTATTCAGCAGAAATAGGATTTTTGCTGAACTGAAATCTGTTGCTTTGCAACAAGACAATTTCATTCTTGACATTAAACATTTGGTGAATGTGTCCTGTGACTGGCTGTGTTCATTGTAATAAAGTATTCGTCTCCCCCCACCCACCTCGCCCAGGGAAGCAAATGCGTTTTTCTCACAGTGAGCACTCAGAATGTACTGAAATCCAGCCAGTCTATCTTAACATTGACGATGCTAATTTCTGAAAATGCACAAAGCAAACAAGTATGGAACATTTTAAATATGAGCAACGACTCTGTATTTTGAAAATTCAATTTCATACAGTAGTTTATTACTACCAATTAGTTCTACAAATACATTTATATAAATTAGGTACATATATACACATGTAAGTCACACCTGAGTGGTTAATGACTTCTGAAAGAATCTTGACAAAACAAT